GGGGCTGGAACGGATCCTTTAACCGCAGTCGCATCATTCGCACAACTCGTACGTACACGCTTCCTACACTTGGCGATGTTGTTGCTGCTGCTGCTTTGGTGGTGATGCACAAGCACCAAGAACAAGAGCCAACACATTCGTTAATAACGCTGCTAGTCTTGTGAATGAATCTTGGCAGGCAGCAGCAGCAGCGGTAGCCGCCACCGTGTTGTGTTCAGTGGGAGCCAGACGCCCCGAGTCGAGGTCTGGCGTTCGCCACGGCGAGTGGCGCTTCACGCGGTGGCCTCAAGCTGTCACCGCCACCTCGTGGCCAATCACACGAGCACGTGTGTGTGCGTGTTACATCCAAGAGTGGACCCATGTGCGTACATACACATCCGTGCATGTGTAGGTGCGCGTGTGTAGGAGTGTGAATGTGCGCGTGTGCGTGCTGTCGTTCGCATACACGTGTGCGCGTGCATGCTCAAGCACAAAACAAAGATCCCCTTGTAAAGCCTCAACAGACTGCTGGGGCAAGTGCTGTTAGCCAGCACCTATAAAGGCTGGCATGGCACACGAGGGGGTGGGTAGCCAACGCCACGCCCGGCCGCCTTTGTCTCCCCAGTGGCGATGTTTACACACCGCACCAGGTACTCATTTGAGGCAGATTCGAACAAGGGGAGGCCCAGGACCAGTTCAGATAATCGTGATTGGTGGTGGCCGTGAGTGGGAATTGAACCTGGGTTGTAGTGCACTTTAAGGCCATGTGAAGTGTCGAACGCCGACTGGCAGATCACGGGACAGACCCAGGTGCCATAGGTGGACTGACTGAGATCACTGGCCGATGCACCACCTGTGCCCCCTATTGTACCGACTTATGTTTTATCCGCCTGGCACTCCTAACGTTGTTGTGAGCGTTGCTCCTCCGCCCTCCGTTGTTGCTGGAGGGCAACTGCCTCCAATTGCCTAGTAACAGCGTCCTTCACGAGCCTCCTCCACAGAGGGCGATCTTGACACCGCTGGTACCAGTCTTTGACAAGTTCACTCAGCTAAACATCTTCCTGTACCGCATCACTCCATCTCTTCTCCAGTCCGTGTCCTGCCCATTTAGCCCCCTCTAACTGGCCAAACACAATCTGCTTGGGCATTCGGTGGCTGGGCATGCCGGCAACGTGACCCAACCAATGCACAGACGCACACGCACGCACACACACACACGCACGCACACACGCACGCACACGCACGCACGCGTCTGCACGCACCGTAGGGCGAGCGCGGGTAGAAGGGGGTGCTCTCGCTCTGCGGGATCTCCTGCACCTTGCCGTAGAGCTCGCTCGTCGACGCCTGGTAGAAGCGCACGCGGTCCGCCAGGCCGCAGGTGCGCACCGCGTCCAGCAGCCGCAGCGTCCCCACGCCGTCCACGTTGGCCGTGTACTCGGCCAGGTCGAAGGAGATCTTCACGTGGCTCTGCGCGCCCAGGTTGTAGATCTCGGCCGGCCGCACGGCACTGATGATCTTGACGAGGCACGAGCTGTCCGTCAGGTCGCCGTAGTGCAGCTTCATGCCTGGGGGGGGAGGGGTGGGGACAGGGTTGGGGGGGTGATAAAACCGTCACGTCTTGAACGACGATGGCATCAACGATGGTTAAAGCTCCCTAGAGTAAAAAAAACAACGAGAACATCGACACACCAAATCTCACGCCACGCAGTAACACCACAGAAATATAACACCGCAGAAAACAATAACAAACACAATATCAACCACATCTACAACAACTTGTGCGGCTACATTCCTTCCGAACGGTGGCGCAACGCACGAACGAGAAGCGACGTAGACAGGGAGAATGTTTCGCTGCGCGTGATCTCCCTGCGCCCATCTCCCTGCGCCTGCACTCCTGGCACCACGAGGGTCGGCCCCCAGTCCAGCAGCGCACCGACAGTAAGCGGTGTTTGTGTGACACCGTCCACTCGAGAATCCGGTTTGGCCACGCGTCGCCGACACCCGGACCTCGACGGTGCCGCTCGGCGGCTCTGACGCGAGAGGGGGTCGGCTCCCCGCCTCACGGGGGCAGCTCGGTCATTGTCGAGGCGCGACCGGTTCTGCCAGATCCTGCCGCGCGATTCGGCTCTCGCCAAATTCCCCGGAATGCCCCACGGCCCCCGTAGACTCGGCAAGATCTGGGAAGTCAAGCGGAGACTCAGCCTGGATAGCGCTTAAGACGGGCGACCACTGTGCATAACAGGCGCTATAGGCTGCTGCTGCTGCGGGATACATGGTCGGCAGCAGAGAGCAGTGCAGCAAAACCCATTTCTGCAATTGTGGTGTAACTCAGGCGAGTGGTGAGCCAGGTGGGATGATGATGAATCCATGGGGAAGGGTAAATCGTGTCTAAGTGGGACACTGTGTCTCCGTATAAAAATACAATTAAGTTGCTAGTCCATTCACCTGTTGGCTTTGCAGACCAATGTTGACCAGCAGTATTTGTTTAAAGCAATAGGACTCCGGGCCTCATCGGCAGAGTCGTTCTTGTTGAACAAGTGCTGCTGGACTACCAGATGTTATTGGCAAGAGCACTCCGTAAACACTACGGGGCCCCCCGGCTCAATGGAAAATGCGATACTGCATTGTTTCAAAACTCATAATTCTGCGTGGTCTTGGAGCATTGTTGGGAAAGCCATCAACAGGCAGAGCTAAGCTCCGTGTCTGCACAATAAATACTGGACTGGACTGGCTGCACATAGTTCACCCTCCACGGTAAAAAACCGAGCAGGACCCTCCCGAAGAGGAGTCTTGAGACTCCAGTGAGGCTTTGCTGGGGCAAAAATCTGCGCAACACAATCACCTCGGTCTATTTACTTTCCAGCCCTGTATGCGCGAACCAACAGCAACTGTTTAAACAAGACAACTCTGGCCCCGGCTTCGACATTGGGGGGGGGGGGGGGGGGGTCTCATCAGGGGTGGGTGGTGATTGTGAATTCAATCCACGGGATAGACCAAAAGGGTCGGGAACCAATAACAACAAGACGATACACTTCGAATTCGGTGTAAAAAAAAACCCCCAAGCGATATTTCAAGAGCCGCAATGCACTGCCGTGGTGGTGAGTACGAGACGGTGGTGAGACGGTGGTGAGCACGAGGCGGTGGTGAGTACGTGGGGGGGGTGGTGGAGTGGGGGGGGTGGTAGAGTGGGGGGGGGGTGGTGGAGTGGGGGGGGGGGTGGTAGAGTGGGGTGGTGGAGTGGGGGGGGGTGGTAGAGTGGGGGGGGAGTGAAGTGGGGGTCTCCCCACTGGGGGTCACTCACTGCCCTCCTGGTGCGTGGCGGGGTTCTTGTACAGGTGCTCGATGCGGCCCGTGTTGAAGGAGCTGGAGCGCCGCACGATGCCGTGCACCTCGTAGCCCTTCTCCAGCAGGAACTCGGCCAGGTAGGAGCCATCCTGCGGGCACGGCCACACGGGGGGGGGGGGGTCAGAATAGTGAATACAATGTCAACGATGACGATGCAAATAAAACTGCTGCTGTTGATTCTCATGACACTGCTACGACTGCTCCTGCCGTTTCTAAGGATGATAAAGCTGCATGATGATGGTGCCAATGATGATAACGGTGGTGCTGATGATGATGCCACTGATGGTGGTGGTGCCACTGATGATGATGCTGCCACTGATGATGATGATGGTGCTGATGATGATGGTGCCACTATCCCTGGCTCCGTTAGTCCGCGCACCTGCCCGGTGATGCCGGTGATGAGCGCCACCTTCCGCTCTCCGTTTCGCTCCGCATCGGGGGACGCGTCAACCACGGCCTGCGCGCCTTTCTCCAGGTCCACGAAGCCCCCCCTCGTGCCTCCGACCCCCTCTCCTGATCCCCTCCCTACGCCCCCCTCTGCTCCCCTCTCCTCGCCCCCCTCTGCTCCCGTCTCCTCACCACCCTCTGTTCCCCTCTCCTCGCCTCCCTCTGCTCCCGTCTCCTCGGCCCCCCTTCCCTCTGCCCCCCTCTCGTCTGCCCCGCTCCCCTCTGCCCCCCTCTCGTCTGCCCCGCTCCCCTCTGCCCCCCTCTCGTCTGGCCCCGGCCCCTCAGGCCTGGGACTGCTGCTGCTGCTGCTCGCCATGCGACCGCGATGCTCCGTGGTCCTCGCTCACGTGACCGCCGCAGCTGATCGCGGCTCACTTCCGGCGAGTGTCAAGCGAGGCCTCAACCAATGGCGCCTTCGCACGGGTGGAGGGGGGGGGCGTGTTAAACGGAGTCTCGGCCAATCGGGTGCGAGCACGCGCCCATCCCCGGCGCGTGCTCGCCCCCGCGTGGCTGCCCCCCCCCCCCCACGTGGCGCTACCGGCCACCCCCAGCGGGGGCGTCTACTGGAGGCAGGCCGAGGCAGGTGACCGCCAGGGATGTGGAGGCAACAACAACGGCGCTTTAGAGAGAGAGAGAGACGCTGGCCAGGCTGAATATTGAAAGTCAGACCGTGATGTGTGACACGCCTGGCCCAGAGGCGACGCTCCGTTATATTTTACGTTTCTTGGTTGTAAATCTGTAGCTGTGGAATGCTTTGCTCGGGGAAATATTCTGATTCTGCTCACCTGGTGGGTCCCGCATTAAACTTGCTGATTACCTGCCAGGTAACGCACTTGGCTACACGCGTGTGGGCTAATCGCGAGGGTTCTGCTGGATTCTTGGGCTACACTTGTTGAGGCATCCGACCTCCCTCCACGCATGAGGCCAACCGCGTGACCCACAACCCCACGGCTGTCGGTGACCGTGGTGGTGGTCAGAGACCGGGCGCGTCACCGCCGCACGTTGTCCACGATTGCGTCCCGACTTGCCTCCGTGGTGACCTCGGGGATCCATCCCTCTCGCACCGCAGTTGTCATCGCCTGGCTCGGACAAGTGCGACTCACGTGAGCTCCGTGCAGTGCGGACCTCATGCGGCTGTGTTGCTGCTGCTGTTCAGTGCGCATTGTTTTCACTCGGCGATGCCCATTCACCCCACCACCCACCCACATCGATGACCCAGGACAATCGCATCGATTGTGATATCTTTATTTCGGATAAAGGTTCTAAAAAGGTAATCTTTTAGAGAGAATAAAAATAGATTTACACTATTATCCCAGCAATGGGCGCCGCGAGGTAACCTGTCTAGCGTCGTTTCAAAGTGTTACAAACGAGAAGTGAGACGCTCATTTCCACGCTCAACGATCCACACTCCTGCAGCACGACGCTCCACTTTATAAAATTCACAGCTTTTCCCTAAATAGCGGAGAGGAGGGGGATACGGGGAGGCGGAGGCTTTTTTATATCGAAGAAAACAAATCTTGAGATACTTTATAAAATTATATGTATATTATATTTGTACAAGACAATTGTTATAGAACCACTCATCAAAGTTTGCAGCCTTCGTTGTTTTCCCCATCTCATCAACAACATCATCATCACACAGCGCAGATTCCGGCACGGGCCTTCATAAGCATCGCGAAAGATGCTGCTGCGGTGACCGCACTTACTCCCGAGGACGACTCACTGGCGCCACATCTCTCCAGGACAATCAAGACAGATGCATGAGCGGAGTCGTCAAAGAGCGTCAATATTCAGTAGCAAAGAAGGGGAGGGGGGGGGGGAAAGAGTTCCAATGAGCAGCGGACAGCGCCAGACACGAAAAGCGGGCAAACTGAAAACGAGCCGGGCGTAGCAGCCGTGACCGAGCTTATGGGTCGCGGCAAGGTCAAAACTGCTGAAACAAACGATGCCAACAGGCCAAATGACGAGCCATTTACTGTTTACATAGGAATACGGAACGGAGGTCATCCTCAGTGTTGGTGATTACCGTACTCTGTACGACGTCGCTCACGTGCACGTGCAAGCACCTGGTAAAACCACTGATGGATGAGGTTATCTCCCATGCCATGCGGGTCGTGGAGGGGCTATTTAACCATACTTCACCAAGCTGGTTACTGCGAGTTGGGGAAAATAAACAAACTTAGTGGGACCAATTTGCTCAATAAGAATCAATTGTGTTACTTCACTCAAATTATAATATCGATCTATGGGGAATGAATACAAACTAAGTTTCTCTCACCACGTGGTACCAACAAGCACATATTTGTCCTGGCTCCGTGGGCTTTAGGGCTTGAGAATTAAGCATCGTGGACGAACTTTAGGCACAAAACTACAGTAGCCTTTGTCACTGGAAAATCCAGCTCACCCGGTGGAATCGCCGCTGCATGAGTGAAAGAGGGGAAAATGCGTTCCTTTGACAAGAGGCCTCCACACCCAGCGCCTCTCACACGGCACCGCGCGGGTGACGCGCTCAGAGCCCTCCCCGTTCATCCACCACGAGCGACAAAGCAACACACTGGAAAGTGGCCCAAACGGAGTTGCTGGAGGCCAGGTAACAAGGTAGCCTTTAACGCCGAGGGAGAGTGCTCGCGGTCGTTTGGTTAATTGGTAATGGCTTGGGGTTAGGTGCCACCACCTGGTTGGCTGGGATGCGCCACATCCCAACACCGTTTGTTCCTCCCTCCCACCCTCTGCAATTAAGGCCTATTCAGGTGTTGGCCGCTTTTTGTATCGGGCGTTCAGAGCGATGTCACGCAAGGGGCGCGGCACATCCCGGCCACAACTTCCGCGAGCAAGGAGCGAGTGTAGGCACCGCGGTCGTCCCTGCCGCTGCCGCTCAGCAGGTCAGGCGAGGTCACATCCACCTCGTGCAGTGGTTCTGAACATTGACTGCAGCCTTGCACCCCTCCCCCCTTTGGTTCTCAATCATTAAAATATTTATGTTAATAAATACATAGGTTTGATGAAACAAAGTAGTTGTACTTAGGTGCCCGTGCTTAATTTGTGTTGATGATTTACCTTCTAAAAAAAAGTCTCGCACCCCAGGTTAAGAACCACTGACCTCGTGTTAAGTTCAACCTTGCCCACACAAAAAAAACCATCCCAGACTCCCATTCTTAAAAACATTCTCATGCAAGTACTCTTTTTCCCTGGGGCAGGGTTCTTAATCTGGCGGCCAGCGGATGACGTGTGGCTTGTCGAGCTACGACCCCGCTGAGAAAGAGCAACAGATTGGCGAGAATGTGAGAGAGACGAGCAAGCAGGCGGTAGACGGGAGCTGTAGACAAGAGGTAAACACGTCCTGTCTACAGCGCCACGATGCAATGTGACATTTATCTGTACACGTGACACTCGTGAAGTTACAGAGATCTTGTGACATACGACATCTGCCCATGAGTACCTGCTCGTTTTATTATGAGAGTTGCCGGCTGAGCATCAGCTGTTGCTCAGAGGAGATATGTGCAACAGCCGAGCGACAGTGCGACCTGTACGTTGAACCTCTTTAGCACCGTACGTAGCCAACCGTGCTAATCGGAACCGTGACAGCGGCTGCCACACAACTCCGACCCAAACCCAGCCGTGCTGCCAGCAGCAGCAATCAGCACTGTCCACGGTGCATGGCAATCCACCGACTCTGCAATCATTACCCCACACCAAGGCGAGTCGGCTTACCCCGAGGACGCCCAACCCTGTTGTCAGTAATCGATTCAAACCGGCGATTAATTTCGTAGCCAGGTCCGTCTGGATCTGCGCGCCCGGCACACCGCATCCAGTATAGCTCTTGCCATGGCCGTGGCTACTACTAGTTGTGCGCTCAATCCAAATTAAGCCCGGATTCAAATGGACTCGAGGGACCGATTCCTTCAGGTGAATCTTGGTATTTCGAGCTGGAGAGGCGTGCTGTGCAGGGAGGGTGGCAGCAGTGTGCGGACTTCGACCTGTGTTTCAATATTGCAGTGGAGTTAAAGTAGGCGTACATGAAGCCATCAGCTAACATTTGAAAGAAAAACATCTATACACAAGCGAAACGCACGGCCGTTCTCAATCAACGAAACAGCCGGAGGAGTTAGGAAAATATTAAACGGTTACCTATTAAAATAAACCTCGCTACAGTAATAGACCATCATCGTTACACTTTGTACATATTCCAATGCAGCAGCAGCACCACCGACAGTACTGCTCACAGCATGATGGGTCAAACGTCAGCCTGGGGTCAGACCAAGGTCATGTCAAAAAACTTGCATTGCAGTGCGCTCACCGCGAATGGTTTGTCTCTATGATGCAGCATCGCCCTGACCTCCCGAAGCCGGCTAGAGAAGTGAGATTTGTAGCTGCACGTGAATTTTTAGGGTGTCGCTAAAGCAGAGAGTCCACCATGTGACGTCACCGATTACGCACATTATTGGACGACAACGAAACCCAGCAAAATATTCCCGATCCTTGGGGCACACGTCGGTAAAGTCTCTTCATTAAGAATAAAAATTCGCCTGGAGTTTACGTAGAGGACAGGGGCAGCGGGAGGAGCAAAGGTCACGGCGCAAGCAAAGGTCAAGATGGGAGCATTTGGGGGGGCCCCGTCATGTTCCGCCGATAGCAACGAGACCACCGCACTCGCCCCCCCACGATCGATGTGCAAATCACAATTAAAATCAAGTTATTACAGAATGTGTGCAAGAGATGTCCCACCCCACTTAAAATAAGCTCATCTCTAAAATGCAAAGGGTACACAACTTGCGCGACTTATATATCTCTCTCTCTATATATATTGATAAATGACTATGTGTTACGTATATATACATGTACAGTCTCAGCGTCGAACATGTAAATCATTGCCGAGGACCGTCATGGAGGCACGTCCAAAAGCGGATGTCCGTGAGCTCTGTGTGAAAGAGCGAGTAGCCGGGGCGAGCTGATAAACGCGCCCCCAGAGCGTTCATTTACAAACAGATCCGTTACGAAAAATTGACGTCCCACTCACCTTGCCCCCCTTGCGTGATGGGGACAGGGCGGAACCACAGCATGACAGTGCGCGCACACACACGCAGCACGCACGTCACCGACACGCATGTTACACTTCATGTATGAAATTTTAAATCTCTGTGTGCAATTTAAGTGAAACACTGAAAGAATCAACGTAGAAAAGAGAGAAGAGACTTTCCTACTTTCGACTAATACAATACGATAAAAATATACACGTTTCTCGAGGGTTTAAAATCAAATGCTGGGAATTCACTCGCGCAGGCGGTCCCCACCTCCTCGAGCGTCTGGACCTGAGTTCGGCCATTCGGCAAAAGAAACAAACCCTCTGCGCAGTGACGACGGACAGGGAGAGCAAAGCGCAGGCGTCGGAGGAGCGACACGGTCACTCCGCACCGCCCCCAGGAGAGGTGGAGCCACAAAACTTTTAAAATAAACACGCGGGAGGCAGTCGCCTTGCGGGCGATCTCCACGGACGCCCCCCGCAGGAGCAGAGCCGCAGGTCCACGCGTGGCCCGCGACCACGGCGCAAAGCCACCTCGAAATAAACTCCCAATGCCGGTGGCGAGCGGAGATAAACAGCGGGGGGGGGGGGGGGGGGGGTCGGCGGGTGGGCGGGGGGCCGGAGCTCGCGTGCCGCACGGAAGAAGGGGCGGCAGAGAGCGGCGGAGGGCAGTGGGTCAGGCGAACGGCGGTCACTCTTGTCCGAAGCCCTCGGTCTCCTCGATGGCGTACAGCAGCTTCTCCTTGAGCTGCTCAAAGCTCTTGTAGGGGGGCAGGTCGAGCCGGTTGAAGCTGAGGGGGACACGGGCGCACGGTGGTCACGCGCGGGATAAGGGACCTCCGCTGGCGCCAAGGTGAACACGGGTGGCGGCGGCTGCTGCGTGGGAACTCACCAGGTGTGACTCCGTGGGAGCCACGTCTCCTTGCCCACCTTCTCGATGCAGAACTTTTGAGGTCCGTTGCTCCCTGGCGTGGCGACACGCAGGGAATAGTCGGTACGATTCGGGTTCAAGCGAGGGAGGGGGGGATGCGAGTAATCACACCGCTTTGGAGGTAAGGGTTACTGGAACGCGTAAATATTTCCAAAAACCTCAAACTGTTTGGCAGCGAGTATGGCCTTGAACAGGATCCCATGGTTTAATTGGAGTGCTCTTACCAATAATATCTGGTAACCCAGCAGCATTTGTTGAACAAAACCGACTGCTGATGAGAACCACAAGGTTTGAATATGTCCAAGATTTGATTCGCTTCAATAAATGCTGCAGCACTAAAATGTTTTTTTTCTATTTAGAGACAGAAAGGAATTCTGCTTATCCATGCATTCATGCTCTGCCACTCAGCGGTTCATTCAGCAACATCTGCAGCCGTCGCGTGGCTCTTAAACTTGGACGCAGGATCTCAAGCGTTGCTACTCGCCAAGCCGTACGACAAGGAGGTAACAGCAGCCATGCTACTGGTGGGGCGGTGAGAACGCGGCGAGCCGCCACAGGTGCCGGTGCGAGGGGGGGGGGGGCTCACCGATCAGCTCGGCGAAGCCACCGACCGGCAGGCGGCACGTCCCCGTCACGAACTGCAGCAGCCGCAGCCGCTTCTCGTTGTCCATCTCCTTCACCACCTGCGTGGCGGCAGAGTCGGCGCGTGTCCACCACGCACACGATGACGCACCCGTGTCAACCGGCTCACGATTCGAGCAGCACCGTGCGCACACACATCACACACTTGCCGTGCAAACCGCAACACTCCATAAAAAAAACCCCACTACGAAACCCGACGCCCTGCCCCTTTCGACGCTACAGCACGAAGCCGCACGTTGATATCAACCGCGGAGGCTGTGAGCACGTGGTGGAGAGCGGAACTCGCCTGCCAGAACCACGAGATCTGCTTGCTGCTACGGTTGTAGTGCCTGTAGATGGTGCTGCGCTGCCAGTCGGCGAGGTCGATCTCCTGCATGCCGCACAGCATCACCTGCACAAGAACACATGCACGAGCGCGTGAACAACACGAGTAGAGTCAAACACGCAACACACATGCACGGGTGAGAAATTACTAGCCTGGTGAAACACGTAACACACGAGCCCACGTGCACAAACACACGTGTGTGTAAGATTATTACTGAAATAAAAGTATACGTAAATTCCCGTTTAGGCCAATAGAACAAGACGGAACAGGACAAAAGATACGAAGGAGACGAACAACAGACAGCTTGTGTGCTGATAATTGGTTCTTTACCCTTCTATCTGGCAACAAAACTAACACCTTTTTGCAAGGAGTCATGTTTGCATAGACCGCAATACCTGCAGTCATAAATACAAACAAAAGACATAACTCTGATAATGTGCACTGTCCTTGAAGTTGATTGGTCCACACCCGAGACAGCTTTCCTTCGAGCCTTGTCTCATATGGGTTGGACCAGATGACGCCAAAAGGCGCACAACTCAAGGACAATGCACCATCAGAGTATGAGAGCTCGGGGCAAGCATCTACACTATGGGGACCTCATTTGCCAGTAAAAATATGATAATTGGTTCTTTACCCTTCTATCTGGCAACAAAACTGACACCTTTTTGCAAGGAGTCATGTTTGCATAGACCGCAATACCTGCAGTCATAAATACAAACAAAAGACATAACTCTGATAATGTGCACTGTCCTTGAAGTTGATTGGTCCACACCCGAGACAGCTTTCCTTCGAGCCTAGTCTCATATGGGTTGGACCAGATGACGCCAAAAGGCGCACAACTCAAGGACAATGCACCATCAGAGTATGAGAGCTCGGGGCAAGCATCTACACTATGGGGACCTCATTTGCCAGTAAAAATATGATAATTGGTTCTTTACCCTTCTATCTGGCAACAAAACTGACACCTTTTTGCAAGGAGTCATGTTTGCATAGACCGCAATACCTGCAGTCATAAATACAAACAAAAGACATAACTCTGATAATGTGCACTGTCCTTGAAGTTGATTGGTCCACACCCGAGACAGCTTTCCTTCGAGCCTAGTCTCATATGGGTTGGACTAGATGACGCCAAAAGGCGCACAACTCAAGGACAATGCACCATCAGAGTATGAGAGCTCGGGGCAAGCATCTACACTATGGGGACCTCATTTGCCAGTAAAAATATGATAATTGGTTCTTTACCCTTCTATCTGGCAACAAAACTGACACCTTTTTGCAAGGAGTCATGTTTGCATAGACCGCAATACCTGCAGTCATAAATACAAACAAAAGACATAACTCTGATAATGTGCACTGTCCTTGAAGTTGATTGGTCCACACCCGAGACAGCTTTCCTTCGAGCCTAGTCTCATATGGGTTGGACCAGATGACGCCAAAAGGCGCACAACTCAAGGACAATGCACCATCAGAGTATGAGAGCTCGGGGCAAGCATCTACACTATGGGGACCTCATTTGCCAGTAAAAATATGATAATTGGTTCTTTACCCTTCTATCTGGCAACAAAACTGACACCTTTTTGCAAGGAGTCATGTTTTCATAGACCGCAATACCTGCAGTCATAAATACAAACAAAAGACATAACTCTGATAATGTGCACTGTCCTTGAAGTTGATTGGTCCACACCCGAGACAGCTTTCCTTCGAGCCTAGTCTCATATGGGTTGGACCAGATGACGCCAAAAGGCGCACAACTCAAGGACAATGCACCATCAGAGTATGAGAGCTCGGGGCAAGCATCTACACTATGGGGACCTCATTTGCCAGTAAAAATATGATAATTGGTTCTTTACCCTTCTATCTGGCAACAAAACTGACACCTTTTTGCAAGGAGTCATGTTTGCATAGACCGCAATACCTGCAGTCATAAATACAAACAAAAGACATAACTCTGATAATGTGCACTGTCCTTGAAGTTGATTGGTCCACACCCGAGACAGCTTTCCTTCGAGCCTAGTCTCATATGGGTTGGGCAAAAAGGTGTCAGTTTTGTTGCCAGATAGAAGGGTAAAGAACCAATTATCATATTTTTACTGGCAAATGAGGTCCCCATAGTGTAGATGCTTGCCCCGAGCTCTCATACTCTGATGGTGCATTGTCCTTGAGTTGTGCGCCTTTTGGCGTCATCTGGTCCAACCCATATGAGACTAGGCTCGAAGGAAAGCTGTCTCGGGTGTGGACCAATCAACTTCAAGGACAGTGCACATTATCAGAGTTATGTCTTTTGTTTGTATTTATGACTGCAGGTATTGCGGTCTATGCAAACATGACTCCTTGCAAAAAGGTGTCAGTTTTGTTGCCAGATAGAAGGGTAAAGAACCAATTATCATATTTTTACTGGCAAATGAGGTCCCCATAGTGTAGATGCTTGCCCCGAGCTCTCATACTCTGATGGTGCATTGTCCTTGAGTTGTGCGCCTTGTGGCGTCATCTGGTCCAACCCATATGAGACTAGGCTCGAAGGAAAGCTGTCTCGGGTGTGGACCAATCAACTTCAAGGACAGTGCACATTATCAGAGTTATGTCTTTTGTTTGTATTTATGACTGCAGGTATTGCGGTCTATGCAAACATGACTCCTTGCAAAAAGGTGTCAGTTTTGTTGCCAGATAGAAGGGTAAAGAACCAATTATCATATTTTTACTGGCAAATGAGGTCCCCATAGTGTAGATGCTTGCCCCGAGCTCTCATACTCTGATGGTGCATTGTCCTTGAGTTGTGCGCCTTTTGGCGTCATCTGGTCCAACCCATATGAGACTAGGCTCGAAGGAAAGCTGTCTCGGGTGTGGACCAATCAACTTCAAGGACAGTGCACATTATCAGAGTTATGTCTTTTGTTTGTATTTATGACTGCAGGTATTGCGGTCTATGCAAACATGACTCCTTGCAAAAAGGTGTCAGTTTTGTTGCCAGATAGAAGGGTAAAGAACCAATTATCATATTTTTACTGGCAAATGAGGTCCCCATAGTGTAGATGCTTGCCCCGAGCTCTCATACTCTGATGGTGCATTGTCCTTGAGTTGTGCGCCTTTTGGCGTCATCTGGTCCAACCCATATGAGACTAGGCTCGAAGGAAAGCTGCCTCGGGTGTGGACCAATCAACTTCAAGGACAGTGCACATTATCAGAGTTATGTCTTTTGTTTGTATTTATGACTGCAGGTATTGCGGTCTATGCAAACATGACTCCTTGCAAAAAGGTGTCAGTTTTGTTGCCAGATAGAAGGGTAAAGAACCAATTATCATATTTTTACTGGCAAATGAGGTCCCCATAGTGTAGATGCTTGCCCCGAGCTCTCATACTCTGATGGTGCATTGTCCTTGAGTTGTGCGCCTTTTGGCGTCATCTGGTCCAACCCATATGAGACTAGGCTCGAAGGAAAGCTGTCTCGGGTGTGGACCAATCAACTTCAAGGACAGTGCACATTATCAGAGTTATGTCTTTTGTTTGTATTTATGACTGCAGGTATTGCGGTCTATGCAAACATGACTCCTTGCAAAAAGGTGTCAGTTTTGTTGCCAGATAGAAGGGTAAAGAACCAATTATCATATTTTTACTGGCAAATGAGGTCCCCATAGTGTAGATGCTTGCCCCGAGCTCTCATACTCTGATGGTGCATTGTCCTTGAGTTGTGCGCCTTTTGGCGTCATCTGGTCCAACCCATATGAGACTAGGCTCGAAGGAAAGCTGTCTCGGGTGTGGACCAATCAACTTCAAGGACAGTGCACATTATCAGAGTTATGTCTTTTGTTTGTATTTATGACTGCAGGTATTGCGGTCTATGCAAACATGACTCCTTGCAAAAAGGTGTCAGTTTTGTTGCCAGATAGAAGGGTAAAGAACCAATTATCATATTTTTACTGGCAAATGAGGTCCCCATAGTGTAGAAGCTTGTGTGCTGTCAACAGGAGATGTTCATGTTTAAGCATTTTTTTAAAAATACAAAATAAAATAGATTTCTGGCTTTCCGTACATATCGGAAATTTATTTTGTAAAAATAAAAGTCCAGCCTCATGTGTGGCTGCCGCTGGACCAATCACAAGCACACATGCCGTTCGGTTAAAATTCTCGTGCACCAATCGGTTCAACGAAAATTCAACTCGATTTTGATCAATTCCAAGACTGTAGGAATCACTAATCGATTAAAGCCCTGGCGGCGGTGATGACACCAGGAACTTGGCCTCAGTGTAAACGCGCGGGGGGGGGGCGGGGGGGGGGCGGCGAGAGGGGGGCGGGGGGCGTCACCTCGAGCTCCCGCTCGTCGAAGTAGAGCAGCCACTGCAGCGGCACCACCTCGCTGAATCCGTCCAGAAAGGCCTTGGTCTGCTCCTCCACACCGCGCGAGAACCGCCACTCCGTCATGAGCCTGAGGCGCACGCACGCGCACACGGAGCGTTACACGCAGTAAGGCTCAACGCGCAAAAGGTCATTCTATAAACATTCATTTCTAGGGCTGCCGTGATGTAATTGTTCACGATACGATGTGAGCTTTCACGTGGCAATGTGTAGATTATAATAACGTTATAACATGTATTAAAAACTGTATTGTATTGCACTTTTCTGTACCTCCAGCGTGAATAAAGATGAATGATAAGTTTTTCAAGTGACGTTCACTAAACATAACCCAGCTATAAGTTTTCCAATCGTTACAACTTTACAATCTTCAATGCGGATACCGCACACGCTGTCAGTTACACAATAAATTATGAAATTAAGGTTGGAAATTAATTCTAGATTTGAAGCTTTCGTGACTGCAAGGATTAATACTCTTAGTTTTTTCGGTAAGGTCACGTAGGTAAAAAATGTAATAAAAATTTATATTTAATTTTTATTAATTTTAATTTCATTTTCTACCTACGTGACTTTACCGAAAAAACTAAGAGTTGGAAATGAAGATGCACTTCAATGGCCCTTAGCTACACCTTTAACGTTCTGCAGAAATCGAATTTAAGGGGTAAAAGCAATTTATTCACCAGAGTTAAACTCGTGGCAATATTCTCATCGACAGTATCAGGACGACAAGCTAATTGGCCTCATCCTTGTTAGGAATCATCGGTAGGCACAGCCCTCGTCACGGCCGCCTCACCCGATGTACTCCTCCTTGTTCTCCTCCGTGACGAGGACGTCGCTGCCGTCCGGCTTGAGGTCGTGCGAGCTGACCTTGCCGAGCAGCTCCATGTCCACGGAGAAGAACATCTCCAGGCCACACTCCTCGATGTTGTTGTCCCTGCGCGGCACGCAATCGAGCGGGCGGTTAGCGGAGCCGGGCAAAATCGGCCGACCTCTCTTCAAGTGAACTGAACGTTGCATCGCGTGACCTCAACATTCAAGTGACCCTGACCTTGACGATGCCGGAGTGACCGCTGTTACAAAGCAACCTTCGGCGCCGACCGAGGCTATCGGTGTGGAAAATGCCCACCGCTAAGCGGCTTGGCACTCCACACACACAGGCATACTTTGAAGAATATTTGTCAAGTAATTAAACTTTTTAAAAAAATTCTGTTTAGCCTCATCGACACCTCGTGAAGGTACGTGAGCCGTTGTGCACTGGCGCAGTGCGTCTTTGACAAGGCCATCATGAGCCCCCAACTCAACCCACGGTCGATACCACAGCAGTAGCAAGTGGAGACAAGGAGCGGGAGGAGGGCATCACCTGAGCCAGATGAGGGAGTTGTAGAACTCGGGATCGATGGACTCCAGGTCCTTGATGGTGAGCTTCTTGTTAAGCATGCGTTTGTAAAAGGGCAGCGAGAAGCCCGTGTCGATAAACTTGCCGTGGTACAGAGCCTGCGGGGGGCAGCACGGGGCAGCAAGGGGCAGCACGGGGCAGCACGGGGCAGCACGGATCGACGTGAGCAGTGAGCGAACACAGCGATTGCAGTTGAAATAAGAATAGTCTTTACACTTTCTGGCAATAAAGCAAGTGTTAAGAGGTTCAAACACCAAATAGATGCCTATTGCAAGGCATCAAGTCAGCATTAGCCACTGGCAAAACTGTCCCATAGATACGAAGAAGCAAGCTGTGGGGGTGGCAGTAACCGCGAGCATGCGGGCCGCCGTGCAGGTCATTGTTAGTCACCATGGCGATGAAGCGGCCGATGAAGCGGAAGTAGGCGAGGTGGTCGGGGTTGATGCTGGAGGCCGGATTGATCTGCAGGCAGTAGTTGTTCTTGCCCGCGTACTCAAACAGGCAGTACATGGGGTTGAGAACCTCGTGCGACAGCAGGAAGAACCACTCCCTGCTCGCCGACATCAGCGCAGAGGGGGGTGGGGGACAGGCGGGGAGCGACGCCGTGAGGGTGGAAGACGCCGGTGGGGTGGGGACTAACGGCACGCGGAGTTGGATACGGACCGCGACATCTTTTCGAAGGGCCTGCCGCGACGTGAGGCCGACCCACTTTGAATTGGCCCCGAAAACCCTTTAAATATATATAAACGATATTCTATAACCGGTGCTGTGCGCATCTTTGCTCGTAGCACCGGTAACATAGGGACCCATAACATCGCTGAGAGACCGATGACAGCCTCTCTCTTACATAACATGCAGCGTCTTGAATTTGAGATGCTATACAACTCCACAATATAACGATTTTGTTAATCATACTCAACACCTCATGGCTGCTCACCGACCTCAAACAACACCAATACACAACGGTGCACACTCATGTGTCCCCGGCCTCGTACGTGCACACACGCACACGCACCCACACAACGGGCACACACAACCACCACCCCGATCTCCCCACACCAGCGCCACGGTAAGTACCTTGCGGGCCCCCCGTAGTCCAATCCCTCCTCTCCCCGAAAAATTACGTAGAGCCGCCTCCTCAGGTCGTAGGCCTTCATGTTCATTATCTGCGGGGGAAACGCTCCCATCCATGTTACAGGGCACTCATCACCGTGGGGGGGGGGGGGGTGGAGGGTGGGGGGCAGGGGGTGTGGTGGTGGAGGGGGGTGGGGGGGCTCACAAGGCAACCAGCACACCACATCCGGAGGACCTCTCACTGTCGCCGTGGCTAATACCATCTGTTCAATTGCGTACCACTCTACCACTCTTAAAGATATGAAGCCTTGAGTGTAGCAAGCGTTGGCGATGGGCAGCCAGGTAGTGGAGGAGAGGTATGAGCTCACCTGGTTGTAGGAGTCTTCGAACAGCGTTTGCCGAGTGACGCTGATCTTCACGTGGCTGGGAAGCGCGTTCGACTGCGGGCAGGAGAGAGAACTCTGTTGCGTTACTCCACGGAGAGGAGCCCCCAACTCAACCTGCTCCTTCCCCAAACCCTGGTCTACTCTCATCTGGACTTGCACGCACACAAACAGCCCTTTTGTCCATCCACTGCTGGGGGAAATCCTCCCAACAATGGGGGCTATTTGACCATACTTCACCTCGCCAGTGTGGGTCGGTGAAGGCATGGAGCAAAGCAATCACTTTTGCTGCACTGCCCTCTAACTACCCACCGTGTAGCCCCCCGCCCCCCCCAACCTGTAACAACCTGCTGTGCAAGGTGGTCACCCATCAAAGCGCTGTCCAGGTCTAAACTGCTGAGCTGCCGCGATGTGACGAGGTCTGCTGCATTGCGGGTGATTTTATCGTAGGCTAATTTGCGAACCTGATGTGCAGATTGTGTCAATCTCAACTGTACGATTTGGTAATTCCCGAGTGTACGGCTTGTCGTATCATACACGTCAACGACTTCATTCCGTCGGTCGGGTGAGCACGGAGGGTTGGGATGAAGGCTTACCTGGCAGAGGTAGCGGAACTGTCCGAGCTTCCACCTGAAGCTCCTCTCGTAAGCGATGGGATCACCCTTCCCGCTGGGAGACACGCATACACACGGGGACACACAGGGGCCGTAAGCTGAACGGACATTTCGACCAGCAACGTGTCCCACGTGTCGGGTGGAATTCCAAACTGTGGGTGGGACTGTAGGAAATGGGAAGCATGTGGGCACCAAAGTGGCAATGCTGCAGACAGATATAGGATCAAGCGAAGCAGGTGGGATGGGATCAAGAGGAAGCATGTGGGGAGCCGCTGTGTGTGTGTTTGGGGGTCGCGTTTTTACCCGGCAGCTTTGGCGCCGGGCCGGGGGTCCTGGAAGGTGGTGGTGCGCATGGTGTGGTCCACAAAGTAGCGCACTCCCTCGTTGGTGAAGCGCGTCTCCCACCCATCGGGCAGCGGCTCCTCACTCAGAACGCAGCTGTGGGACGGCGCGTGGACGGGAAAGGCAGACAAAGCAGGGAAGGACAGCAGACGGACACACACAGAGTGACAGATTCACAGAGCGGTTCAAATGTTACTGGAGTGAAACACGGAGCTGTCCGTTTACGAGTCGTGGTGTTAAGGTGTGCGAGTATTGTGCTGTTAAGGCGTGAGAAGTTGTGTTGTTAAGGCGTGCGAGCGTTGCGTTGCATGGCGTGTGAGTGTACGTGTGCGCGCGGTGCATGCGTGCGTGTGCGTGTGCGTGCGTGCGTACGTCGGGGCCTGGGCGGCGTACCCCTGCGTTCGCGGGTCCTCCCACTGGGTCGTCCGTGTGTTGTGGTTCACGAAGTACATGCGCCCGCCTTGCTCTATCCGCTTCTCTACGCGAGCACACGCACGTGCGCTCAGAAGGGCATTTCACAGATCATGTCGCTGTGCCGCTGAAACCTACGACTGCGAGGGGGCACGGGGGCAGGCCGAATAACTGCGTCCACGCTCCCAGCGCACGACGCGCCTGCTGAGAGAGGCCGGGCTGCAACGTTGTATATGAGTAGGCGACTGAACAGATGCGTTTGGGATTTTCTTCACATTGGCGATGATGAGTGGGGAGTGATATCTTAGCCAGTCCTGGCCCAGGAGCACCACCCCCCCCCCCCACCTTCACCAACCCACACTGAGCAGTGTGGTGAGAAACGGTCAAACAACCACCATGACCAACACAGTGTGGGAACGTCTCCATCAAGCAGCGGATCGACAGAAGACTTTCACTGCGAGTGGACGTCAAGACGTCATCACGGCCAAAGCTGTTGATGCCACCGCGCTCCGCTAGCAACGCTCTCTGCCGGTGCGGAGGGGGTCATTATATTATTATAAACACGATAAATAATGCCACAACTTGCAATCAATAACAGTTACACAACATCTGAACGAGAACAAACTCACCGGAACTTTGTCCTCCGATCGTTATAAGAATTGCAATGTTTACTCTCCATTATTGTTTTACTTTCCTCTATTCATTAACACACGCGCGTTGTACAATCAATGTCGTTATCTTCAGAAAGATTTAGCCAATTTTTACGGTCCGACGTTATCCTTGCGGGTGCACATTTACCCCATCCAGAGGGCAGGGCACCCAGGGGGTCGTTTTCTGTCGGCAAACCTCCGGTCTGAAACGAGGAAACAATGCCAGGTCATTTGCACCCACGCCCGGCAACAACCCCCCCACCCCCAACTCACGTTGAGCGTCCCGGCGACAACAAAACAATCGCGACGACGGCAGTCGAGGGCGCGACGGCCCAACAACTGCGCACGCTGCAGCCGGTTCCGACACTCGCACGTACGCACAGTCCCGGGTACGCGCGGCACGGGCCATGCCGACCGAGAGAGACGGCGCCGCAGATCCCTGGTGGGTTCCGATGAGCACGCTCCTCAAGGCGCCGTGAGTTTACCGGCGAATGCATTGGGCTGTTCGCAGGCTCGTGTACAGAGACAAATGAGTTTTGCGGATGAAACGGCTCACATGCTGATCTGATCGCACGTTAATTTTACGTACGAAACGCCAAAAGGCGACAGGTGGATCTCAGAGGATAGCTCTGTGATATCCACTTCTGTGGGAAGGTCTCTAACGCAAAGGACTGCACAGCTCTGTGAGAGACCCAAATGGATACTTAGTCTCGTGATATATATCAGACCCCAGAATTGGGATAAAATTGTGGAAAAAATTATTTTTTCTTTAAACGATAAAATAACATAAGTAAATATGATATGCAAGTCCAAATGATATCCTATACATTATATAAACAGCATGCTGGGCAGGCAGGCAGGCGAGTGAGAGAGAACCAAGACAGCGAGGAAGAGAATGAGGAGTGAGTGGGCGAGTTGGTGGGAGAACGAGCGGCTGGCACCTGGAAGAGGAAGCGTTGGTTGAAGAGCTGCATGGCTCCCTGCAGCTGGTTGCGCTGCGACTGCCACTGCTCGAAGTTGCGCACCGACTCGGTGGTGGGCCGCTGCCACGTGGTGGTGCGTGTGTTGTGGTCCACGTAGTACACGCGCCCGCGCACGTCCACACGCCGCTCCCAGCTGCAACAACGCACACACAGCCACGTCTACGCTGGGAGCCTTAGTCAGCCATGACAGGGTGCATCACCAACACACACACCCAACACTCGCCCAAGAACAAACATGCCCCAATACACACGCTCACATGGCAATAAGCACAAAGATCCCCTGTATGACCTTAAAAACTACTGTGCTGTTAGCGAGCACCTAATAAGGTCTAAACGGCGCACGAGGAGCTGGTGTGGCTAGCACCACACCCAGGCAACTTTGCCTCCCCGATACCTGGTACAATGTGTTTATACATTGCACTAGGTACTCATGTCAGGCTGAGTTTATGGAAGAGAGTCCCAGAACCAGTTCAGAAATTCACTACTCATGTTAACCATTACCTGAACATTAGTCGTCGCTGGGTCTCATAGCGCAGTGCAAAAACTTCTACAATCTTGTTGCCCAAGACACACGCACTCAACATACACAGCCCAACACACACCCCTTAACACAAACTTCACCACGCAACCCAACACACAAATACACACATGAGCGCATCAACAAAAGCGCCGGTTGTCGCGGGTAACGGGCCCTACCCGGGCGGTAGCGGCTGCGGCCGCTCCCACGTCGTCGTCTTGGTGTTGTGATCCACGAAGTAAAGTCGGCCATGGGGGTCGGCTCGCTGCTCCCACCTTGCAGCACACGGTGGTCGGGGGGTTGGGGGGGGTACCGCCGGTCAACGCAGTCGCTCCACACCGCGTAACGTCACCACCCCAAAGGGTGGCACAGTAGGATTTCCACAATGTAAATTATTCACAAAATTACGACGAATATTGTGATATAATTTTTCCAATTATCTGTAATTGTAATTCACAATGCTACTGCATTGCAGTTCGCTCAAAATAAGCCTGGATAAGTTAGAAAATCGTGAGAACTTTACAATAAGTAATGCTGATAATGCAAATGCTGTCAGTTACACAAAAGAGACAAATAATTTGATGAACAACTACTCCATTGCTTCACACGCAACGAAAATCGGAAGGAACGATATTTTGTAAAAAACGGACAATACAATTATCGTGGACCCTGATGCAGTGGGACGTCTTACCCCGGCGGAAGCGGCGTTTGGTCCTGGCTCTGCAAGTCGGGCGGCGCGGAAGAGGGGGCTGAAGGAGGTGCGGGCAAAGGGACAGCGCCAGCAGCGGCTGTGGCGCAGGCGACCGCAGCCGTTCCCACTGTTGCCGACAGACAAGAGGAAGAGATTGCATATCATAAAAACACGTCGTCATTTCCCCCCAATTTTATCCTGGTTGTGAGACAACAAATCCATTTGGATCTCTCGGAGCAGTGCAAACCTTCCCATGAAGTGAATATCACCGAACTACCACCGAGATCCCTTCAAGAAGCCTGGTCCATCAGTAGAGGGCAGCACCTTTCCACCTACTCTGCCGTACGAGCGTAATGTTCGTCGCGTGACGTTCAACCCGATATTTTAAATTCTCAGACCTGAAATTTGTCCAAATTCGGTGCAGAACCAAATGTAGTGTGAATGTTGATTTTGTGCAGTTCTTGGTGTCCGGGGTGACACCATCAACTCACTTGCATTTGAGAACCTGGTTTAATCACAGGAGGCTGAAAGCAGGATTCGTACCCAAGCTCTCAGCGGTGCCAACTCAGCCCTCTGACCCCTAAATCACCCAGTGGGTGTTTAACAGACTATATCAACAGTAGACTATATCAACAGTGGACTATATAAACCATAGACTATAATAACAGCGGATAGGTCAACTTTAGTGTTCATACAGCTCCAGCACAGCGATCTTTGACCTCTGAGCCACCCAGCCATCTTCGTGGAATACATAACGAAAGAGAAGCCGCCAGCGTGCGGTTGCAAGCGGGGTGCTGGCGGACGAACCGTGTGCCCGGCACGCTTACCGGTGCCGTTGGCCTGCACGGTGGGGGGCGGCGCCGGTGGCGCCGGCGGCGGTGGCCGGCGCGGGCGCGGGTTGCTGCGGCTGCCCGAGGGCCCGGCCTCCCCATTGCCGTTCACCCCCAACTCCACCATGGAGAGGCGGGCGTGGGTACTGTCCCCCGACGCCTCGCCCGCTCGTGACGGGTCCACCTCGGATCTGCCGCGATGAGCAGACAGCAGGCGTCAGGAGGTATCGGTTGGCATCGTGACGCATTCGAAGTTATTGGGAAGTAGTTTTCCTGACGTCAGGCAGCAGGAGCAGTGCCACCTCCATGTGCAAGTGTTGAGCAACACAAGTGATCATATGATGTTGATACCAGTGTCCAGGTCATACGTGTAGAAAGACATTGAAGGACGGTGTCGAGTCGTAGATCGTGTTTATAAAAGAAACAAATATCCACACAGTCCCCAATGTCAATGGACAGTAAACCTTCAGCCGGGTCAGGTGCATTCAACCCAGTGAGCAAACTAAGCGAGGTGCTCTGTGACCATGAGCAGCTGCGGCCATGGCTGAGGGAGCGGTCAAGGTCGGGGGCGTTTAAACGTCGAGGTCACGCGAGTCAACGCTGACGTCGTTGAAAGCAACCTGAGCCAACGTTCATAATAAGATCCAACGCGTAAGCGCTTAGGTCACGGTGCAGACGCGAGCGGGGGGGTTTGCTCCGGGGCAGGGGAGGCCGCTTACTTGGGTCTGGGCCGCGCGGAGGTGGGGACCGGGGGGGGCGTCTGCGAGGAACGCTCCGGGCTCGTGTCGGAGGGGGGGCTGTCGGGCTCCTTGTCCTCTCCCGCGTGGCTCACGTCCCCGTTCTTCAGCGCAGCGGCCACTGAGACAGCACAACGACACCCTCCCTCGTGTCACACGAGAGCAAGTCACAACCCCGGCCAGAGGCAGAGCGTCACCCTCGCACCAACGCAAGTCCCCGTGCAATTTGACTTTATATGAATGACCCAAGTGATGAGAGTCACGGACCAGGAAATCCAGCGAGGGGTCTGGAGGGCAGTATCAGAGTGCTATTGGAACAGCACACGGAGAGCACAGTAGACAAACGTGCAGACACACCAAAGGCAGGTGGGTAAGATAAGAGGGGGGAAGATAGGGAAGGGGTCGACATGAAAAAATAGGGGACAGGAGGGGTGAGAAGAGGAGGGGAGGGTAGAGGATGTCAGTGGAGGGAGGACGGGAGAGAGAAGTGTCGCGCACCCTCCGTGTCGCCGCTGTCCGTGCCCACGCACAGGGCGGCCATGTCGACCGTCATGGCATCGAGGCACACCTCCAGCTCGTCGACCGGGCTGCGCACCTTGCCGTTCTCGGCCGTCAGCGGCAGCTTGCAGCATACGTTCTCCACTAGGGGGGGGGGCACGTTGAAAGGGGGGCACACCGGGGGAAGGGGGAGTGGTAGGAGCAGATAAAAAACGTAAACGCATAAAACACAACGCTGAATGCCTCTTGAGTTTTCGAAATGACGGCAGACAAGTCCTGATTGCAAGATTTTGCCATTTGGCGCTTTACTTGTGATTTGACATTCAGTCACTTTCTCAAAAAAAAATCATACACACGTGCGCTGGTTTTTGCCCAGATAATCGGATTAGTTGTCAGTCTAAACACCGCATCGGTAAAAATTGCCACTTTTAAAACCTGCAATGGGTATAATTGCCCATAATCTGAGCTTTTTAACTACAAATGGAGGAAACTGAATATACAAATAAACAACAAGGTGTCAGCATAATAAACCAGTTTCTTGAGTTATTGTGCGAAGCGCGACGTCATCGGGCAGGCGCAGGAAAGCCCCCTGTGAACCCTGGGAGCTTTACTTCTGTTAACCCACCATTTGTTGTGTTGTGGGCAAGGTATCCAAGCGACCGTGTCTAAACTTTCCACCCAGGACCCCTGTTTTCCTCCAATTATTCGGTTGGGTCTCCCCTCCCCTTCCTACCCTGTGCCCATTCCCTCCTCCTCAGACTCCGCTTATCAACAAAGCGGCGGCGTTCCACGTGAATGATAGGGTGGCCCTGGGTTTTAAGATGGAACTCCACCCTCTGGACATCGCTGCCACCACCAATCTGGTGGTCCCCATGATGAGGAATCCTATCATCAGCACCGCCACCCACAACCACCATTATAAAACTCCGCCAATGTCACCACCACCACCACGACCACCACCACCATACTACTGCCACCACCACTTGCTGCCATTGTTACCACTGCTTCCAGCACCACCATCATCCACCACCATTAACGCCACAACCATCACCGCCGCCAACACCAAAATCACCATCGCCACCACAAACACCACCACCCACCACTACCGCAAGCATCATTGCCACCTCCGCTGCCGCTGCTGCCGTTACGTACGTCTGCCGTGATTTTCAAGCAGCTCCTTGTGGATGTCGACGACAGCACGGCCCAGGAGGGAGTTGTTCTTGAGCGGGTAGTATGCCCACACACGGAACTCCAGCCGGCTCGTGGGCGCCGCCATGCTGCGGGCAACAGGGCGCCAGTTTATCATCATTAACATCGTCGGCCATGATCAATCCACTGCTGGACGAAGGCATCTCCAAGTCACCCCTGAGCCAGATTCAGATGTGTCGGGGGAGGCCAGCGTAGCACGGTTTTGGTTCCAGCTCGGCTTAGAAAACCACCTGTATTGTGAGGATCCTGTGCTAACTTGGAATCAGAATATGTATTTATATTGGAGGAATCCGATGAGCTATAAGGGGTTTTAATGGTTCGTGTCGGTATAAACAAAAGTCACAACAGGCCTCATCGGGCCGGTGACGGCGGTCCCCGCGGCATCGCTGGTCGGCAGCGGCGCGGCCACCAGCGGGGCTGGGCGAAGCATGCGTGCGCTTACACGGTGAAGTGCTCGGACCACTGAGGGTTGGGAGAGAAGCTCTGCTTCTCCGTCTTCTTGGAGGTGTCCACCTGCCCGTCCACCAGCAGCTCCACGTAGGGGTTGCCGCCGATGAGGCTCCGCTTCACGCCGTGAAGTCGGGCGCTCACCACTGCCGGCAGAGGCGGGCACACAAAGACAAACATTCCCGCGATAGCCTCAGCAGGCTGTTGGGGTGAGCGCCGATAGCGAGCACCTATGCGGGACAACACGGCGCACGAGGGGGTGGTGTGACCCAGCAGGCTGCCGTTGTCTCTTCAGTGCGAACGATCGGTAAATGTTGAATATCCAAAAATCAATACAATTTCATCATATGGATGAAGACGATGACAATCCAAAAGCAAGGTTACAGCCGGAAGGGTGGAAAGCAGGAGAAAAAAGGATGACAAAACCTGAGTGTAGCCGGCGCGATCGGGACACTGAACACGACTACAATGGTAGGACCAGTTAAGGGAGCCCAAGGTCACGATCCTTGGACAAAATTATTACACCAGAAGATGCCAGAAGATCAGTACTGATCTAACAAGAAATACAGTGGAGAACGAACACTTACATTTGATGCAGCATGTCATGGGTATAATTGCATACTATTTGTAATTGTAATAAGCGGTGCAGTGCAATAATAGCTTATGCTACCTGAATGTCAGGTTGCTGACGTAAGTCACACGAAGAATTAAGAGTCTTTAACCTCGCTCACTGACTATTTGTTATAAAATTATACGATTACTAGAAAACTGTATGAAAGGGGGGAGAAGTGAGAGGGCAAGGTCTGTTTGGTATAATACTCGCCACTGGTGTTAGCTGGGGCAGGGAACCAAACTCCGTTTGGGTTCATTTCATGGTGGTGCTAAAATGATGGGACTTGGTTGGCAGTGGTGCACAAGTCAAAAATATTCATCGTTCACGCCGCCAAATAACTAAAAAACGACCCTGCTTTAGAAAGGAAAAACCCTGAAACTGTCAGCCTGTTTTACACAACTTTCTGTTATCAGGAATCGTTCATGAAGAATGTGGTAAGTTGTTTTTATATTTGTTGATTGCCTGATTTCTCCGACCTGGTTGGCTGTGATTTAAGAGACGTGACGGGAGCAAAGGCGCTCAAACATTGCGAGCTACAGTGTGAAACCGCGTACGAGGGGAACTGACTCGCAAAAATATTTGACTCGGTCAACTGGTTTACTACCGCACATGATCGCCGAAGTATGTTTGGCTCTATCTTGGAAAAATTCTCAGCCAAGGCGGTGCGGTCAGGAGGCTGTCAATACGAGCGCTGTACCAGCCCATGAGCTTCCCGCGTCAACACGACGAACGACCACTCGCTTACTGCGCCATAAACAACCACCACCCCTCCTCACCCGCATCGCCCATTACGCAACGGTCCATGTGATACACAGACAGGCCTTGCGCAAGGCAACGATGTCTAAAATGCTTTTAGAATATAATGAAAGCATTAAGAAGGTTGCACACTTTTTTTTCGTCAAAAGGCATTTCCACCAAATCTTGCTTACGTGCAAAAGACTTAATTAAATATAATATTCAACACAGACCGAACCTGTCCCGTGCACTACGCACATACCACGCACTCAAAACACAACCAGACGCGCCTCAGGCAATGGGAACGTTGCGCACAGAAACCCGAACAGAGTCGGCTTTCCCGTAACCAGGCGAGTCGAGATAAAAACGTTAGCTGCCCCGATTCCTTCCCAGGCACATGAAAAACACTTTATTGTACATTTTGGGAGGCCCCCCTCATCTTGAGTCCCTGTGCAGTTGTATGACTCCCCCCTCCGAATCCGTCTCATCAGACCTGCCTGTCGCCGTGACGCAGAATCGTCGCGTGCGAGAGGCTCAGGCAGCGTCACTGTTGTCATGCCGGAGTGCCCCACCCTCCATGGCACACGGAATTTCCAGGTGACTCACCGTGTGGGGGGGGGGGGGATGCGATTGGGTTTGCCTCGATAAAAAATTTCACAACACAATATGATGACCATCATTATTGGTCACGATCAATCATCTGTGGGATGAAGGCCTCTCCGCCTAGCACCTACACAAAAGCTGATTTCATCGCTCGATTTCCCCAGTGGACCTCCTCTATTTCCTCCATTCCTTGGCTGCCACTGTCACGATTCTTAACCACCATCCAACTTCCCTCATAAGTCTTATATCCAACCAAAGCCCACCTACTTTTAATCGACGTTGGTGGCAGTGCCCACCTGAAACTATGTTTGTTGCGATGTGTAAAAACCATGATATGCTGCAGCACTGGCGTATCGAAATGGGTACCGGCACCCATTTCGGCACTGAGCATGTGTATGCTCAGTGCCGAACCGCGGTGACGTCGCTCACTCACTCACCGGTGACCTGCAGCTGCGTGCGACCGGGCGAGGCGTTGCTGTCGTTGTGGGGAGGACACGCATTGGCCATATCACCGGCTGCCGTCAGCCGCCAAAAGGGACACCCTGCGGCGAGCAGCACAAGGCAACCACATCACCATTTAAATCTTCGACATTGAAAACGCCAACCACGTTACATTTGCAATGCGACCAGGAAGTAACCAACGTCTCAGAGCGCAGGAATACAGAGGGAGAATGGGGAGGGACTGGGCAGGGAATGGGTAGGACCGAGCAAGGGAGAGAAAATGTATAAATTAAGGCAGTTTGTAAGAACGGGGGTTGAAGAGGAAGATTTCGAGGCAGGCTTTGAAAGCAGAGAGATAGGACCAGGGGGAGTGGTCTGGGCAGGAACTTCCAGAGGGTGGGGTGCGTCGTAACAACAAAGGCAGGATAGCAGTGGGGTGGCGATGAATGTGGGCAATGCTGCAGGCCATCAGAATACTTGAGTATCTCAAACAAATGCAGCGAAACAAAAACTCACTGTGCGTTTGTTGCGGAGTTTCATGGGGAAAAGCATTTGTAAGCAGAACTGCATCCTCTGCTAAACACACCTGCCAATTCGGCAGCAATTTTAACAAGCCCAGCTGACGATGGGATCCCGACAATTTAAATTGGTTTGACGTTTTCTCACTGAAACAAATGCTGCTGGAAAATATTGGTCTGGAAAGCCAATAGGCTGGGATACAGAATGGAGCAGTGCCTTTAGTGTAACAGAGCTTATCCCATAGCTACACACCTCGGGACTGTGACAACATTCAACAGGACGCGCCAGATATTGGAAGCCAAGCAGGCTTTCAGCCTGGACAGTGCTTGGATGGGTGGCCACAATGTCCAAAACATGCTTCGTAGGCTGCTGCCTGGCTGCATGGTGGGTGGTAGAGGGCCGTGTAGCTGCCCTCTGCTGATGTTTATGGTTCCTGCTTTCACAAACCCGCACTCACCAGCGTGGTGAAGTGCGGTCAATCACCCACACGGTGTGGGCAAGCCCTCAACCAGCAGTGGATTGATAGAGGGCTTTACGTGTCCGTCACAAGCTGTACGACACAAGCTTGCAGCTTCATTAATAAGGCAGAGTATGCATTAAAGTTTTAGTCACGTGTATCACACGGTGGTCTAGGTGCGCACTTCATCTACCAGAGCCATTTGCCGTTTGGGCTGCATCACCCTTTAAGTTCCTTGTTCAAGTGTGCTATAAGCTTGGGACCACCATGTCATGCCAGTGGAGCAGTTAAAGCGCACGACGTCGTATGCCGCACATCTCTTCAGACGGTCTGCACTGGCGCTTCACGTTTTGTGTTGTAATCAGACAGCTCACAATTCTCTGCAGATTGATTTATAAACAACCCAGATTAAAAATAGCACTAACTTTGACCGGTTCCACTGAATGGAAACAATTAACATGTTGCAAGCATGCATTTAAAAGCGGCGCCAATGCAGCATATTGATCTATTTTAGAACACGGGTCATATAACTAGCCATTGAGATTACGCATTACAGCAAAACGATTGGAAGCAGCCAAACTGCTTCATAGCAGCAGCAGAAGACTACATAAACACCACATGACCACGAGCAAAAGATTTTTCAATGCACAATGACTGGCTCTGTATACTAACAAAAAACAAAGATTTTGTAAAAGATGACTTGTCCTTTTGTAACAAGGCTTGATTTAGTATGTAATACTTAGCTAACCATACAGCTTATTATTCTTGGTTCTTTCGGTAAAGTCACGTAGAAGGGAAACGATTAGAAAAACGCCACTTTTTGTCAAATTGCTGTTTTTCACACCTGATGATGATTGCTTGTGTTGCAGTCGAAACGTCGTGAGAATTTTATTGTTTTATATTTTTATTATTTTATTGTTTGCCTTCTACGTGACTTTACCAAAAGAACCAAGAATATGAATCCCTGCAGTCACGAAAGCTTTAAATCAAAATATATAGCTTATTATTTGCATCAGGTGAGATGGATCCTAGCTGATACATGGACATGCACACGGAAAACAAGGTTGATTCAGAAGCCCGCCGTGTTTATAACCTCCTGCGTGATCGTCAAGGTTGGCTGCCTCTCTCACACGTAAACATTAACCTGTGTCTGTGAGGCAGGCTAACCTGCCCTCTTGAACGGCAGCTACTATGGTGACCATGATAGTCTGGCACGAGCTAGGCTGGCACAAGTAGACAAACGAACAAGGACGGGAACTGTAACGCAGGGAACTGGCCAAATATAATTCTTGACCTCATATAAACTCTGTGTGCAAGCCACCTCATGCCCTGCTGTCAACACATTTAGTGTTGTATTACAGATCTCTGTTCCAATAGCCATTGTGTGGTGTGCACAAATCATGAATTAATGAACCTCGTGTTTGGCTGTTAAACTTTGAAGCTAGGGACAATTCAAAAGTGCCGATTGAGGACGGTGCTCATCTTCATATATTTTTCTCTCCAAATTCGAAATAACAAGTTGCATCTCTTCAGTCCCAAAAAACAATCCAAGTGCAGGGTATTCAGCATCAGTACCAAAGGAAAGTGTGACATTATGTAAGTTGTGACTATTTCGTGGGGGTTTTAGTCCATCCGGAAGCATTATAAAAACGTTGGCATTTTCATATTTGCTAAAGAAATCCCAGGAATCCCAAGTGCAGAGTGTGCTTCTCGCAGGGGCATGTGCTCGACCGTCGTTTCGTGGCGACGCTAATCTCACGTAGCCACAACGCGGAGACATTTTGCCAGGTTTCCGGGCAGTGAACTCAACCTCTAATAGTATTATAATAATTATCCCCAACAACATCATTCCAGCAATATTTGTGAGGCCCACCAGAGCCATTTCTGCTTGCATGCACTTGCTCAGTTACCCCGCATGTCGGTACTGCTCCACACCCACCTACTAATCTTTCCCAGACGCTGGTTGTTCAGTTATTATGATTTAAGAATGATAAAATTCCAGGTAGCTTCAGCTGTCTGCTGCCTGATTTATAACGGACGATAGTGCACACCTCTGGCTACAAATACACGTTGTCCCTTTTAGGTAGGTATCTGAAAGCACAAACACAAGGTAAACCGGTAAATCATAACAATGCTTGTTTAGCTCGTTGTGGGTGGGATGGAAGGTACACATGAATTTAGGGAAGTGGGTAAGGAGATAGCTAGGAATGTATTTATATTGGTAGATTGGATTATAGCGTACAGAGCTACAGATTATACCCATCTGTGAAATAAAGCACCTTCATGATAGCCATGTGCTCTAAGAGTGGTGCAAATGTATACATGTCTTCTTAAAGAAAAGCACATGGAGAGGTGAGGGTAAGTAGGCAGGCATATATCGGTATGAGGAAAAGTCGGTGGTTGCATAATGAAATGACAAAAATCCATCTGAATGAAATCAAATATTTACAGTACATCAGGCCAAGGCTCCTACATACTGATGTTTTATAACAGCATTTGTTTACACAGGCAAACCCTAGACGGGTTATGCCTTGAGAATCTCATAGTCAGGCCCGTGAAACACTGGACATCTGTCAAAAAAAACTTCACAGCTCATTGGATTCCTCCAGTCTCAACATCCGAATGCAGGAAAGTTCGTTTTGAGCGTCAGTAAATCTTTGGCAATAACATTATAATAAAAAGTTAAAATATGGCATTTGGTAGTAAGTGGACACTAATAATTAAAACTCGACACATGTATTGATACCACTACCTTAAAAGGAAAATATATACAACAATAAGGTATGTGGGTATGTAGGAATTATGTTTAACTAACCAAGCCAGAGCCCAATAACACATATTGCTTTTTCAAGACAGACCGGGCAACACGAGCAAGGGTAAATTGTTGAAAAATCAGGTACAAAGATGTTACTGTGGTTTCTTTTTTTGCCGATGAGCCTGGGTTTGGCTCCGGGCCTCGAACATTTTCAGACGCGACAGCCTTCAATGTGTGTGCCTCGCGTCGGCCAAACACGCGCAGACTTGGCACCGCTACGCGAGGACGAAAGGAGTTCTCTCATTCACAAGGAGGCTTCCGAGGGTCACGACCGAGGTCAGACACAGCCCCTGCACCTGGTCCTTGCACCAAAACTAGTCAACACTTAGTGCGCCCAATTTATTCCGATCTCGGACGCTGTTTGAGCCTGGGTATTATTTTGATGTGAAACAGGCCAGGGGATTCCAGGTACTGAACACCATCGGATACGTGCGGTTTTCTCTGCGTTCTCCGCTTTTCTGTCACATGCCAAACACTAATTTGAACAGAAATGTACAAACCTTAAACGTATTAGGACATTCCTGACGAAATTAAGTCTCAAGACTGGGTGAGGCTTTCCTGGACGAATAAAAAACATTACTTACTGCCTGGCCAGCCACCTCGGCCACCTTCGCCAGAAAGACGAAGTCTAATACTTGATGAACAGTGCGGGTCCACCGTTAACCAAGACGCCACCCACCACACGACCGCGACTCCGAACGTGCACACAATCGTACACGTACCACAGTGTCAGCGCCGAGTGTTTGCTTAGCGCGCTCATAAAACACGCGGCACGACGCTGCGACCTGCCGCGGACAGCGCTTACGAGGCAGTTCAGAGACGGACATTTTAGTTGAAATCGCGGTTCAGTCCGCGCCTCGCTTGCACGGCACAGACACGACACTAACCACACACACACACACGGCTCTCGTCGAGTAACTTACATGCAGAGCGAGGCTGCGTCTATTTAATTCTAACTTCCGGCACACAGCATCTTAAATACTGTAGCTGGACTGTATCGTAACCTTACATCCGGAACTTTAAAGTATTTTTCTTCTCATTGACGAAGCGTAAAACTCGCGTCGGACACAGCCTAGGGGTGCAGCTACAAGATCACAGCGCCGAATCTCTTAGATCGCGTCTTCCTGTCACGGGCAAAACATCCCTCACGCGCCCCCCCCCCCCGGGGGGGGTCTCTCAACCACGGGGCGGGGGGGGCGAGGCGAAGTCTTCCTGGGCGGCCCACTCAGGCAAGACAGTGGGCTTTGGCCTGCACCCGCACGCACTCGCCTGTCCACCAAGCCCCGCGTCGCCGAGCGGCGACGACTGAACCTCGACGCGACGCCCGAGCCCGAGCGCGGGAAGGGAGGCCGTCTCACCGCGGCGGCGCGGAGCGGAGGGGCGGCAGCGGCGGCGAGCGACCTGAGGAGGGTGCGGGTAATGCGCGGGACTCAGCAGCTCGCGGCCGCCATCACGCGTGACGTCAGGGGGTGGCATGACGTCACGGCACATAGCGAGGACGGCGTGACGTCAACCCACGCAATTTTCACTCGCGCGTGACGTCATCCGGATGTGCGCAAGATGATATCGAGTAATGTCGAAGAATGACGCCATACCACATGGCCAACACATGTCGTGTGTGACGTCACGACCAGAGACTTCAGTATTTTGGGTTCCAATGTTTATTGGGGCGTTATAGGGAATGGGCTGTGAGCAAGTAATTATAATGAGCCATTGTCTACCACTGCTGAATGAATGACTCCAATCCACCTCTCAAATCTGTCATCTAACATCTTTCATGACGACATCTTGGGGGCCGTCCATAAATAAAGTCACGCACCTAGGGGGGCGGGGGGGTCAGACATTTGTGTGTGACGAGGGGGGGTTTGAGAAATGTGACGTCACATCAAAATGCGCAACTTTAAATAAATATAGACAACACGTTCTACTTAATTAAATAGACTTTTAATACATGTTTTCTCCTACAAGATCAGAGTGCAGCGCCACATTAAATACACACTACAATGACAATAGTTTAAAGCGATTTAAAGCGTGTTTTATTTTTTTTGAGAGGGGGCAGAGCTTTGTGACGTCATATTTGAGGGGGGGGTCTGACTTGTGACGCTGTGTGACGAAGGGGGGGGGGGGTCAAAAATTGTCCAAAAACGTGTGACGTCATTTATGGACGGCCCCTTGGGTCTTATCTCCAACATCTCTCTTCTCCCCTCTTCTGAAATCTCCCACGTGGTCAAATGAAACGTATAACTGTAGACATCGCATCTTGCACATGCCTTCTCACGTTTCAATCTTCTTCAGTCTCATCTCACACATCTCTCTCTGTCTCTCCTACATCTCTCCACGCCATCCCACTCACTTCGACCCTGCATGTAAAATTCCACTGGCCATGGGTAATACATGCACTCACGCAATGTTGAGAACAATCAAGACAACAAGAACCAGACGGCGTGCACACAGTTTGCTGTTAATCAGTGGCTGAGCTAGATAAATAAACCATATCCATGTATGTCTCGCTCTTAACTGAATTTTAAATGCAGCAATCTCAGGCCAGAGTTACAAAGTTTAATAAACACCGTGAATTCCATCAACCAAGCCGACATTTTGAGAATATACGCATATATAGCATTAATACGACAAATACTTAGGATTTCGAGTAGGGTACAATACCGGAGTGGTTGTATCGCTTTTACTTAGGATTGGCAACTTAAAGGGACAGCAGCATACATCCACACACACCGCGCCTGAGTTCACAGCAGCAGTGGGTACCAGGCAGACTCTTGAATAGACCTCGGTCCAATGTTGATCAGCGTTCCAGTTTGGTGGAGTAGTAGCTCTCGCTAAGGCTGCTATCTGCAGAGGGCCCGACATTAATAATAACTTTTAAAACGTTGAATGTACCTACTCTTGTAAATCTCACTAAAAATACCAGTTTTCTGGGTCTCAACAAGGGGGTGGCATCACCACATTGCACCCTCATTGGATCCGCCCCCGCCTAAGCCTGCCACAAGCGAGTGGCACAAATGCTGTAATGGCACACATTCTGTAATGGCACACAGGATCATTTACTAGGGACATGACAATTCACCCTCCAGTGATTAAATTAATTATCACGATTCGGAGTCACAGTTCGCTTCAAGAATATATATTTTGTTGGGGTCTAGTTTTGACTATTTAGCTCGCTCGGTTCTGCTTCGTATAACATTCGCGAAAAAGTCCAATGATGTACTGTAATTGGTCTTGGACAAACATCCCAATGCAGGAAGAGTCTGCAGACTTCAGTCTGGCGTTCCTGGGTAAATAAGTAACTAAATGTTTTCATGATTCGTATCCAAGATTCACTGCAAATATCGTGAGCATAAGAATGGATTTTACCCGATGAATCACCTTCCTATTACTATGGCCTCACACACACTGACTTTCCCTCCCATGAAAGAGGTACACTTGAGGTTCTTTAGTTGCTGATGAGGATGCTCAGGAGCGGGGAGCTTAGCTTTTCCTCAAAAAGGTAGCTCCTCATCTCGGGGGATGTCCAGCTCTGCTTCCTCGTCGGGCGCCGGTCTGTCGGGTGACAAAACGACGTCACAGAAAATTGGGGCCAACGTGTTCGCCGTGGCGAGGAAATCAACAACGGTCACCGGGCACCACCACTCCCCCCAATTAAAATATGAATCAGTTACAATTAATTTCCATGCCCTCCACCCCCCGCCACCCGAGCCTGCGGGAATGGTGCTGCCCATTACTGCCCATGGCACTGCGGTGAAGGGCAGGCGATGTCTCACTCGCGAGTGGACGGCAGGAGCCAGGGGGACGCGTGGAGCTGCTTCCTGGCCTGAGCCGCGAGTTGGCGAACCTCCCGCTGCAGGGCAGGGATCAGCAAGCGCAGGGCGGCGACCTCCTGCGGCGGGCAAGAGGGGTCATGACGGGTGGGAGCAGTGTGGATGCATATGGGCACCGTTCACAATAATGACACGAGAGGGAGATCTAGAAAGCCCTTGTATACGACACTTGACATATTATTCAACACTGGCCGCATCTTGGAAGAGGTGGGAGTACGCGGTCTTTACATCACCACATATGACTTGCGGATGTACCCATTTATACTGCCGGGTGGACGGCGGTGGGGGGGGGGGGGGGTCAGAACACAATAAACTTGCCCATTGTTTCAAATGTCGCGCTGCGAAAATCGAATTGAAGCGGCGACCTCTGGATTTCAAGTTCAGTGTGCAAACCGTTACATCACAGCCACACTAATAGGACCCAAATCTAGCAGAGTTGGACATCAAGCAGAGTTAGATATGGGTCCTATATACATCTGGCAGTTCGCCAGCATTGGCTCAAGCAAGACTGACCTTGCAGATGGGACATTGAATGTCGAAACCAGACCAAAGTTTGCTTTTGTTGAACCAATCCTGCTGATTATGCACCCCCAGAAGACCATGCGGCTGATGGGATATGTGAAAACACTTTTTATTTTTTATTTTGGAGAAAAAGTTTGGTGAAGGAGGCATATTGTCCGATTTAGTATTTTGCTACTAATAACGTACTGTAACGTTAATGTGAGCACTGTTTAATTGTTAATTAGAACCCATAGTAAATCCACTGTTAGAAGAGGGCTCACCCACGACGTGTCGGTCATGGAGGTTGCTTGACCATACTTCACCACGCTGGTCAGTGCGGATTGGAGAAGAGGTGTGGGCACCCAGGACCGGTTCAGATGTCACTCACCACTGGTGTTGGCTGTGGCTGGGAACCAAATTCAGGACACTGGGTCCGTAACACAGGGCACCAATAACCACTATGCCACTGCTCCACCCCTCACGCTGCAATAATAAGATATTGATAGCTACGTTCATCATCACGTCAGCTCATTAGCGATGATTGGGCAACATCACCTTGACATCACTCTTCCTGCATATTTTCATTTGTCAACACAGTGACTTAAAAAAATGACATTTGCTATTCATGAAGCTGAAAACTTATGTCGAACAGCATGAGACTCACAACCAAAGGAGCATACATGTAAAGGCTATTTGTTCCTAGGGTTTGGTTGCATCTCACTGCACGACTTTTAAAGTCCCAGTGGGCAGCAACCTCTGTGTAGACTTGAACTCCTGTTTGCAAGGAAAGAAACGAGACACTCCCCTGTCGAATTTCCCCCCTCTTCAGAGTCCAATCCATGGGTCTCAGTGCCGTTGCACCGCCTGAACACTCTATCGGTATGCCCGTGGTCTCTTACCTTCCCCTGGATCTCAATTTCCTTCCTTAAGCCCGCATTCTGGAAGATCTTCGTCCGCAGATCATGGGGGAACTCCTCCAGGTGCTCCTGAAAGTGGGCAGACATTAAGTAAAATCAACTGGCAGGGTGGGTGTTTAATCGACTGTATCAACGCTGCCTAACAGTTGATGACAAAGCTGCAAGATTTGCCAAATCTGCTGCTGATCTATCCTGTTCTTTACAAACTCACCCTGGGGTCAACTTGCATCACCAAACAGCCATTGTGGTCGCAGCTTCCACCGCACAACTTCTTAACAACATCTCAGTGGTGGGCAGCGGAGCCGTCCCCATGGTACGGCAATTTGGGGGCGACCGCCCCACAACCCCTTCTGGAAGTCCCTGGTGGGCAGCATGGACCTCGTCAACAGTAAGGAAACTTTTTATTGATGACCCCAGCCATGGTGAGGACTGTTTGTTGGTGGCTGCTATGCGAATTTTGATTTTTTTTTAGACTGCGCTCAGTAGCCATGATTTAAAAAAAATAAACAGAATTCTGACCCGCAGCCTTGCCATTGATGGGCTCAACTGAACTGCATTTGCACTGGACAAGTGAGACACAGGGACATGACGACTCAGAGATAGAGGAACACTGGGATACAGAAAGGTGGGAACAAGGAACCGAGTATGGGCTGTACTGAATGGTTTTGACACCGGACAAGGGCACTCTGCAGTCAACGAGGTCAGATGGGGCATCTGAGAAAGCCCAGAGTGTAAATGCAAACAGGTGCACGCTGCCTAGTCTGCCTATATGGATGAGCCGCCCCAGAACAGTGGAGAGGTCAACTTTCGTGCCGAGAGGTCTCCTCGATGGCAGGGTGCACACTCCTCCCCCCGACCTGTGCAACGCGGAGCAGCAGGGCCTCCTGGGCGAAGGCGTCCTGAGCCGCGGTGCGCTCCAGCTGCTCCTCGTCCTGCCGGCGCTCCTCTGCCTCCTCCACCTGCGGGCACATCCACCGCCCTCTCAGCGCCGGCAGCCGCACACAACCTCAACATTCACGTTGGACATGGAGGTAGTTTGACCCCGCTGGTGCAGATACAGGAGAGCCTCACCGAGTCTCAGAACTCTCTTATCGGGAGAGTCCAGCGACATTCGGATGTTTGGCCAATTCTGCCGAGTGGTGTTTTGCGCGCCCCAACCTCCTGCTGCCGCTGAAGCGCTTGGAGCTGGCGTTGCAGCTGGGCCTGCCGCGCCGCCTGCAGGGGCCGCTCCCTGCCGTGGTACGCCCGCAGCGAGCGCAGGTTGGCTCGCGCTTCCTCCAGCTGCACCCCCGCCCGCTGCACCCGCCGCTCCAGCTCTGCACTCGCGCCGGGCCGAGCGGATGGGAGAAACTCTTGGGGGCTTGTTTAACGGCGCGATGGGGGTAGAGTGTGCGAGTAGCTCCCCTGCATTGTGAGCATTTAGACTTGAACATCAAGGTAAAAGGCAGAGTCGCAACCCTGCAATTGTTCTCTCTCGACACGACTGGTGGAATGGCCACCTCCAGAGGAAGCTCTAGAGACCTCCACTCTCGGGTTTTTTGGACTCCTCTTACAGATATTGCAGGGAGATTGCAGGGAGACCGCAGCATTTGTGGCCGAACTTACCGGCTACGTCCTGTCGCATTGCGTCCTCCACACGCTGCTCGTTAGCGATGGCCTCCGACATCTCCCGCCCGTGAAGATCCTCGAGGAGGGCTTGCGCATTCTGCAGGAAGGAAGCGGTCGGCCGAGGTCAAAGTGGTACTTCCCGCAAGAATGCAAGGATGGCCTCAACATGAGAATTCCCTCGTCATGTGCATGCAGAAAGTAGGAGAGCGCTTCATGGAGGGGAGACATCGAAATGTTGAATTTGGAAAAAGGCAAGCGATGAGGCCTCGGGGTACATTCTCAGAGGTGCACGCCCGATGCAGGAAGTTCTGGAAGAAAGGATGCTGGTGATGACGCGGTTTGGTATCATATGATAATAATTAATTGTTAACTTGTAATGCACGCCACGGTATCCACTCACACGCTATGCAATATTGACAAAACAGGTCGGGTCCGCATCTTCGTTGTACAATACTGCCCTCTCCTGGCAAGCCATGCTATGACACTTCGACGGCGGATCATGTCCATGGAGCGCGTTACGATGCGATGTGTGATGATGCAGTGTGCGATGATAATCATACCTACTATAATCACCCAGGTATGTCCTTAACGCTCGTGACGTCACTCACCATCGACCAGCCCTCCTCATTCATATTCATGAGCAGGTGACGTCCTCCAAATGGACACCCCCCGCCTCCCCATTATTATTAGCTACTATAATGAGCCAAGAATGTCTGTGTGCAACGCTCGTGACGTCACTCCATGTCGAACAGCCCCCCTCATTAAATATCGTTAACAGGTGACGTCCTCCAAATGGACACCCCCCCCCCCATTCATAATAATTATCGGGTGACGTCACTTCACATGGGGGGCCGAGGCGCCTCCTCCCCCCTCCTCGGCGTCAACTTACAACCCTCACTACCAAGGCAGAACCCTCACGTCACGTGATCTCCGTCACCGCGCCCTTACAAATTGCCCACACATTAATGCATTGGATATCACGTCGCGGTCTGCTTTTCACTTGCAAGTTTCAGATTCACTGCAATACACCCGTCCTTGGACGGGCAAAAGGCAAGTTATTCATAAAAGACAAACGGATGTGGATTTGGGATTCACCTCTCGAACGGTTAGGTATGCTAGGTCGAGGGGCAAACATTAATTAAACGATACATGATTACTTGAAGGGATGGATGCCATACTATAAAACAATGTAACTATTTCTATTTGACCAGGTAAGACCTACTGAGCTAAATAGCTGTTTTCAGAAGCAACCTGGCCACAAATGATCGCCCAATTAAGTGGCTTATCACGTGGAAATGTTATCAGCCAAATACTCTAAAAGCACTTCGATTATAATTGTGGAGGGAAAAACCAGAGGACCCGGAGAAAAATTCCACGCGATCATGGGGAGAACATGCATACTCCAAATGAACAGGTCTTAGGGTCGGGATCGAACCCACGAACCTGGAAACTAGACGAGGTAGTTAAGATCTCACCACCACCGTGGCACCCCTGCTCGATGGCTCCATGGAGCAGCCACGGGGGGGGGGGGGGGGGAGCTGACAAGCGCGAGCCCGGCGGCACCTGGTGTCTCTGGAGCTGGGCCAGCGTGGCGTTGACGTCTCGGAAGGCCGCCTCCTCCGCCTCCCGGGTTTCCTGTGCCAGGCGCTCGTTCGCCGCCTCCAGGGCCTCGATGCGTTGGCGGCGCTCTGCGACGGCGGCCTGCCGGGTCTCCGCCAGATACTGGCCCGCAGCGCACACACAGCGGTGTGACGTCGCGAGCGGGTCACGGGGCAAGCGGGCTCTTGTTGATTTCTAGGTCTTTTTGAACATTTTTTAATATTGAAAAGTTTTCCCCATTGTGCTACCAGTGTCACGTGACCAGAAACATTTTCTATTTGGACCTCTCGAAAATACGACACAAAAGAGCATATCACGGATCTACCTCTGACATGCCCTCAAGTGACCTCTGCCCAACACGGTAGGGGCAGCATTTTCTTCCCACCTGCATTGCTGCAGAGAGAAATGTTCATCGGATGACAGTCAAACCGATATTTGTAACTCTCAAGAGATAATATTTTGCCACTTTAAGTGCAGAAACAAACTGGTTACCAGACTGAGACCATCAACTCACTGCACTTGAGAACACAGTTTCATCAGAGGTGGCTGCTTGGTTTCAAATCCAGGATCTCAGCGGTGCTAACTCAGCTGTCTAACCTCTAAGCCACATGGCCACCACATTTCAGGATGGTCGACATGGGCCCTAGTGCAAGGCATTCAATGGAACCCCCCCCTGTTCATTTACATTTCCCCCCTCTCCAACGCCTAGGCCCCTCCAGCCCATTGACCTCAGTGCAGTTGCATGGCCTTGCACACACGGTGGCTACGGTGCAAAAAAACTTCAACATACATACATACCTCCAGCACCTTGACGTCGGCCATCTTCTTGCACAGGGCCTGGATGTCGGGGGGCGGTGGTGGCGGTGGCGGCGGACGCTCCACCCACGGGTGGCGGCACAGCACGGAACACGAGGCGCCCAGCACCTGGGCCTGGCTGGGCCACGCAGGACCCAGGGATGGGCTCTGAGGCCCATGTTCCGCTGCCCAACGTGAATAGTTGTGAGAAGAAAATCAATTAAAGTGGAGTGGATAAAATAACAAATAAACGAATATGGAGGTCAGGCGGCCAGGTAGCCAGGAGGCTCAGAGGTCAGAGCGCTGAGCTGGGACCTCTGAATCCTTGATTCAAATCCTGGCAGCCGTCTCTCATCACAGACATCAACGTGAATGCTACAGCCGGCAGTGGTGGTGCACGCCTGTAATCCAGCGCTGTGGAGGCGAGGGTTGGTAGCAGGGGCGGCCCGAGACTAACTGTCAGCAACTGGCACCCGAGACGAACCGTGTCAATCGGCACCCCCAGCCCCAAACCCCAAGGGCAGATCTCGGCTGAGGTTTTTGGTAAACTGGGAAACATTTTGCCCACGATTTCTGTTTAATGTTTTTTAAGCGTATTTTTTTTAAAAGAGGCATAATTATTTGATTTGTCCATCAGTCTGTCCAACCAATGTTTCTGAGGTCAGATAAAAGAGAGACACGACATTTTCGGAATAGATTTGTACACGAAGCTGGACGATATTTCAGTCCGATTTTCGGTGTTTATTTTTTAACTAAATATTTTACTTCAAAATATTTGACACTGATACATTCTCAGAAATGTTGAGAAATGAATTATAATTCATATTCCCTCTATATGTACACAGGAATTGAAATAATGACATCTTCTTTATTTTATTTGTATCTACTTCTTTTTTCCTCGAATTTGGCGCCCCACTTAACTTGGTGCCCTAGGCGACTGCCTCGTCCGCCGATATGGACGAGCCGCTCCTGGTTGGTGGATCGGACAAATTACAAAATGTTGCGAGGCTCCCTTCCCGTAGGCATCGAGGAGGTGCAACACCCCGGCTCGCCGGCAGAATGCAGGACAGCAAAGTGTGGTCTGATATCAGGTGTCCCTGGCGTATAGGAAAGTGTTAGTTCCTCGCATGCATGAGTTTTCTCCGGGTGCTCCGACTTCCTTACACATGTGTAGTGACGTAAATGGTGTCACTATGGTGTTCGCGTCAGCTGCTGTTACAGGAGTGCAACTGTGCGTCTGGAGCCTCTCTCTAGCACCAGAGTAAGTGCGGTGTGTCAGCCAGGCATAGGGGACATCGTCCTGGTGATGGCCTGAGAGAGAGGGCAAGGGGGGACGTGGTGGTCTGAGAGAGAGGGCAAGTGAGGACGTGGCAGCCCGAGTGGGGCACGTGATGCTCGGTCGGGATCCTTCGGGAAAGGTCTCGAAGGGGGCGTGTCCGAAGGCGGAGCGAGGCCACGCCCAGGAGCATCAAGGGGCAGTCCCGGGCGTGTTCTGGGCTCGTCTGTGGACTCAAGCCTGGGTCCCGTGTCTCGTCGTCTCCGGGTCTTCGTCTCGAGTTAACTGGCTCCTCGCGTAGTTAGCCACATCACCTGCTATAGAACCCGAGTTACGTTCAGTGTTAACCGCCAGGAAAGTTGTTAAATAAAAGTGTTGAGGTTCCAATATGTAAAGAACTACTTAGCAGTGGCGGCTTGTGACATTTACACGAGGTGGGGCGCTTGTGAGTGACCTCTGAAAATATGGTGTTCTAATTAGGGAAAACTTCGTAATGTTCTTGGTAGGAATTTATAAATAATACGAAACAGAACAACAAAGCACTCAAATCGTGTCCCTATGAACCTCAAGTCCACACTGCACGACCCCTTTGACACTGCCAACAGCCTCGAGCGTGTAGGCGGTGGACCTGCTACATGTGCACGGTGCCACCTCGCGTCGTGACGTCGGCGCATCGCAGCCACGGGCGCCTTTTTAACCACCCTGAATGGGTCTCAAACAGCGTGGCTACAATGCGAAGCTCATCGCAAGGAATGAAGGCATATTTCTCACTCGGACTCCTCCACAGCCACAAACAAAACAATTAAGAGAATAATATTTTTCATTCGAAAATAATTTCTCATTTCCAGTTGCGTGGTGTGGCGGTGCCCCCACGTCCCTGGTGGACGAGCCGCGCCTGCTGCTTAGCACGAGTTGGCACCGCCTCACAGCTTGGCAGCATTCCAGCTTGTCTGGGATTCTTCTCCGCTTGTGAGATGCAATTTGCATGAACGACGCTATATAAGACTGCTTATTAGATAATGTATTTTTTTTTATTGATGCCACCACAACCTTAATGCTACAAGGTAAGTTGTGTAAAAAAACATGTAAACAATTCAAGAGAAAATGTAATAAACAAAACAATACAAAAGTAGAAACTGCACAAAATCATACTGATTTATGGCGCATCCACGATACATTTCCAAGCCAATGGTGAATCTCTCACACGCCGTGGGTGACTGCTGACCTGGCCGAGGAGTTGAGCTCAGCTCCCGCGAGCTCCCTGCCAGGCAACCCAGGGGGTAGTCGGGCGCCCTGCTGGACTCCCTGCTCCGGCGAGCCCTCCGCGTGCCGAGACGGGGCAGGGTGCGCAGGCTACGCTGGGGGGCCCCTCCACGACCACAGCCGCAGGGAGACCTCCTCTCCCACCTGCTGTAGTCCTGCAGTCACCCACCAGCACCACGTGCCCAGCTTGAGTAAACCCGACAGGGTCTCGCACCTCCACCACACCAACTCCGCTCACCCTCGCAGTGCCATTTGGCTGGCCATCGAACAAAGATGGTCACCGCATTGCGCGCTTTCGGATGCGCTTCTGCGGCCATCTCGAACACTCTTTCCGATATTAGGAAGCCACTGGATCTGTGCATTTTTAAATCAAGATTTAAAACTCATTTCCTTGAAACTACTTTTTGTGTTTAGTCCTTCCCCCACACCTCTGATCAGCATGGCTGGCTACGTATGTTTTGTGCAAAATAAGTTCAACACACAAATATACACAACACTTTGTGCAGCCACCATTTCCGTATCCCGAATGTTGCCGAGACCCCTCATGCTGGCCTCGACGATTGCCACTCTCTCTTTTCAGGCCTCCTTTAAACCCGCATCACCAAACTCCAGATGATCCACGGAGGGTCGAATAGCACCTTCAAATAATTCTGGCAGACCACACGTCAGCACACATCTTGGTGTAATCCAATAAGAATTACGGCTCGTCTTTACCACGCTAAATATGAAACGCTGTTTGCCAGATTAAAAATAGTTCCCTTTGATACCCCATTAGCACGGCCAAGATGCCTGCATTGACGGATATAAATTGTTTTATGGGCAGTGGCCACATGCACTTGTAAATATCGGTTGAAACTTCATTTCTTTCAAACTGCTTTTTGTGCTTAGTTTGTCGTTCTTCCCCGATTAGCACGGTTGGCAATGTACGGTGCGAAAGAAGTTCAACAACGCACGGACATTAGAGGCCTTCCGTGGCCACGGGCCGAGTGAAATGAAGCCGCGGGTCATGTCCCACCCACAGGTCACTGGCTCCAACAACCCCCGACTCACGGTGCTGCCGAGGTCCTGGCACCGCTGCCGCACGTGGCCTTCGTCCAGCATGGTCGGCGACGAGAGAGCGGCGGCGGCGGCGAGGTTCAGCGGCGAGGTTCAGCGGCGAGGGACTTGCGACTCGGCGAGGAGGGCAGCGGGCAGGGGATCATCGCCCTGGCTGTACCTGCACGGCGATGAGATTGAATGCCCGTTCCAGGGGGCGATGCGAGTACACACTCGAGGTCCACACGTTGTTAAAGAAGCTCCACTCACGGCAGTACAAGAAGTATCAATAAACAATAAAGGATAAAATACACACTCGCGTAACAAGACTCGGCTCACAGGGCAGGCCACTGGACACTCACCACAGACGACAGCTGAGCAGGAAACACAACTCTCCCAACACTCACCACTGGTACAATACTCCTCACCAGTGGTACACAACTCACATCACTGGCGGTAGAGGGCACGCCTGGAACAGCACGCAGGACATCTCACCACACTCACCACTGTCACCTCACTCACTCACCACTGTCACCTCACCACATTCACCTCACCACACTCACCCACCACTGTCACCTCACTACACTCACCACACTCACCTCACCACACTCACCTCACCACACTCACCCACCACTGTCACCTCACTACACTCACCACACTCACCTCACCACACTCACAAGTGTCACCTCACCACACTCACCACACTCACCTCACTCACTCACCACTGTCACCTCACCACACTCACCACACTCACCTCACTCCCTCACCACTGTCACCTCACCACACTCACCAGTGTCACCTCACCACACTCACCACTTTCACCTCACTCACTCACCAGTGTCACCTCACCACACTCACCACACTCACCTCACTCCCTCACCATTGTCACCTCACCACACTCACCAGTGTCACCTCACCACACTCACCACTTTCACCTCACTCACTCACCAGTGTCACCTCACCACACTCACCACTGTCACCTCACCACACTCACCACACTCACCACTGTCACCTCACTCACTCACCACTGTCACCTCACCACATTCACCTCACCACACTCACCCACCACTGTCACCTCACTACACTCACCACACTCACCTCACCACACTCACAAGTGTCACCTCACCACACTCACCACACTCACCTCACTCCCTCACCATTGTCACCTCACCACACTCACCAGTGTCACCTCACCACACTCACCACTTTCACCTCACTCACTCACCAGTGTCACCTCACCACACTCACCACTGTCACCTCACCACACTCACCACACTCACCACTGTCACCTCACTCACTCACCACTGTCACCTCACCACATTCACCTCACCACACTCACCCACCACTGTCACCTCACTACACTCACCACACTCACCTCACCACACTCACAAGTGTCACCTCACCACACTCACCACACTCACCTCACTCACTCACCACTGTCACCTCACCACACTCACCACACTCACCTCACTCCCTCACCACTGTCACCTCACCACACTCACCAGTGTCACCTCACCACACTCCCCACTTTCACCTCACTCACTCACCAGTGTCACCTCACCACACTCACCACTTTCACCTCACTCACTCACCAGTGTCACCTCACCACACTCACCAGTGTCACCTCACCACACTCACCAGTGTCACCTCACCACACTCACCACTGTCACCTCACCACACTCACCACTTTCACCTCACTCACTCACCAGTGTCACCTCACCACACTCACCACACTCACCTCACCACACTCACCAGTGTCACCTCACCACACTCACCACACCCACCTCACTCACTCACCACTGTCACCTCACTCACTCACCAGTGTCACCTCACCACACTCACCACACCCACCTCACTCACTCACCACACTCACCAGTGTCACCTCACCACACTCACCACACTCACCACACTCACCTCACCACTCACCACTGTCACCTCACCACACTCACCACACTCACCACTGTCACCACACTCACCTCATTACACTCACCACTGTCACCTCACCACACTCACCACACTCACCTCACCACTCACCACTGTCACCTCACCACACTCACCACACTCACCACTGTCACCACACTCACCTCACCACTCACCACTGTCACCTCACCACTGTCACCTCACCACACTCACCACACTCACCACTGTCACCTCACCACACTCACCTCACTCACCACTGTCACCACACTCACCTCACCACTCACCACTGTCACCTCACCACTGTCACCTCACCACACTCACCACACTCACCACTGTCACCTCACCACACTCACCTCACTCACCACTGTCACCACACTCACCTCACCACTGTCACCTCACCACTGTCACCTCACCACACTCACCACACTCACCACTGTCACCTCACCACACTCACCTCACTCACCACTGTCACCACACTCACCTCACCACTCACCACTGTCACCTCACCACTGTCACCTCACCACACTCACCTCACTCACCACTGTCACCTCACCACACTCACCACTGTCACCTCACCCACACCACACCTCACTCACCACATCACCACTGTCACCTCACCACACTCACCACTGTCACCTCACCACACTCACCACACTCACCTCACCACACTCACCAGTGTCACCTCACACTCACATGTCACCTCACTCACTCACCACACTCACCACTGTCACCTCACCACACTCACCACTGTCACCTCACCACACTCACCACACTCACCACTGTCACTTCACCACACTCACCACTGTCACCACACTCACCACACTCACCTCACCACTCACCACTGTCACCACTGTCACCTCACCACACTCACCCACTCATGTCATCACCACTCCACCTCACTCACCACTGTCACCACACTCACCTCACCACTCACCACTGTCACCTCACCACTGTCACCTCACCACACTCACCTCACTCACCACTGTCACCTCACCACACTCACCACTGTCACCTCACCACACTCACCACACTCACCTCACCACACTCACCACTGTCACCTCACCACACTCACCACTGTCACCTCACCACACTCACCACACTCACCTCACCACACTCACCAGTGTCACCTCACCACACTCACCACTGTCACCTCACTCACTCACCACACTCACCACTGTCACCTCACCACACTCACCACTGTCACCTCACCACACTCACCACACTCACCACTGTCACTTCACCACACTCACCACTGTCACCACACTCACCACACTCACCACACTCACCTCACCACTCACCACTGTCACCACTGTCACCTCACCACACTCACTACACTCCCCACTGTCACCTCACCACACTCACCTCACCACACTCACCACACTCACCTCACCACTCACCGTGGTGGTTGCCATGGCGCCCGCTTCGCCCTCCACGCCGCCGCCGCCGCCGCCGGGCGCCATGAGACCGCGAGAAGCAACTTCCCCCCCTGGGGGAGCGATCTCCCGCGTCGCCTCGCGGGCACAGACTCCACACAGACTCCACACAAACTCCTCACAACTCTCGCCTCGCCTCGCCGTGTGTCCCCGCAGTAACGAGGTAACGAAGGGGGTTGAGTGATCGAGAGCCACCGCCCCTCCAAGGCGAACGCCGCGGGAGGCGAGGGACAACTTCCACCGTTGGCCACGTGGGGGCGCCATGGCGCTGCCGCTGCTGCTGCTGACACCGCCGTGTGCCATGGGTGGAAAAAACTGATTTTTCCAGCGGCAGGCATCGGGTTTTTTCTTTAATACAATTAAACCCGATTTCGGGGAATTAAAACCTGGTTTAATGAATACGAAACTCTGATCCAAGGCTTAGGCTGCTTCCTCGTCGGTGCTGCTATTGTACTCGGGGGGCCGTCGGGCACGGGCTAGTCGTAGACTGCGGCGGGCAGGTTGGTCTTGATCAGGGGTCGGCAACCAAAATAACAAGAAGAGCCATTTCTTTCCAATTCGGTACAAAATTCAGTATTTCAAGAGCCGCAATGCATCTGAGTACATACTGTACATACGTACATATCGTCAAGAAGCAGCCCGTAAAGAGCTGCATGCGGCTCCGGAGCCGTAGGTTTCCGACCCCTGGTCTTGATGAACACGAGGAGCTTC